TATTTAGGTTTACATTGTGTAAATATAATCTTATATATATTTTAAACATTCACTAAAAATTATAATCTATTATTTTTATATTTGTTAGTATAATCGATAATTAGTAAGTTTTTTTAACTTTTAATCAATTATCTTTTTTAGTTTTATAATGTATAATATAAAAAAAGACCTTTCATATTCAATTTTAAAAAACTTATTTACATAGGTTTAAATATTAAAATTAAATGATAAAATGGTATAATTAATTTTAAAAATTAAATAATTAAATGAGGTGGATGATGATGTGGCTTAAGGAGAAGAGAGAAAAAGTTAACTTTATATATATAGATTATAAATAAACTAAAAGACTAAGAAAAAACTAAGTTTTGTAATAATTTTATTATTTTCTATTGCATATTGTTAGCCAACAAAACTAACTTGATACATCATATCGAACAATTTTAGAAGCTATCTAAATATCTTCGATCATTATCTAAAATATATAAATACTAATATTTTTCAATATATCTGATCATCAATTTTTGATAATTATATGATTAATGTAGAATTTATCTAGGTTTCTGAAGAGTCTTATCCTAAATCTTAAAGGATTAGTTTTTGTATACTTATAATTATTCCCCTGATTTTTCTGTTTTTTTGTCTACATCTGACTTCTATAATCTTATTAGCAAAATTTAACTATACGAGTTTTTTTTTCATTAAGAATTATTATTACAAAGGAACGAAGCAAGACTCGTGTTGACTAAATTTCCATATAATCTTCAATTCACAATTCAGATGTTAAAAAAAAAAAGACATATTTATTCAACATCAAATTTTGTATGTTAAATAACTTAAAACTCGAAACAAGGTGACTTTTTTCTTTTTTGTAATTATAATTGAAACTTTGATGTATGAGAGAGATGTGTGTTGTTGACTAAAGGATACGAGAGAGTGAATCACATCGAATATCTCATCCTCTCTCTCTCTCACAGACTCACTCACATGTCTAAATCACATTTGCTATTTCTTTCTTTGCTTCGGACAGTGAGCCTTCTCTCCTTACTTTATTTTTTCCCTATTTTTTTTTTAAATTTATATTCCCCTTTTTTTTCGTTTACTTTTTATCTAAATTCTTTTCTTTTTTTAAAAAAAAAGTTTGATAGTGATTTATAAAAATAAAATAAATTCATATTATATATATTTGGCACCTAATTTGAAAGTTTGTATGATGCATTTAATATCGGTGTTTAAAAGGGCCCGACCAAAAAATCTAAATAGTCAAAATATTTGATGCACTAGATACTATTTCTTATTATTATTATTATTATTATTATTATTATATGTTTCTTCTTTTTTTTTGGTTTACATTATATTTGTTTTTGCTACTCCTAAACTACTGTAATTTCTTGTTTTTTGTTTTGTTTTGTCTATATAATCTTTTACACGAACTTGTTTAATGTCCAACTATCTTGCACTAACATAAATTTGTCTTTTGACATTAAAAGCCAATATATTTGACTTTCCCTTCTTTCACTTTTTTTTTTCCTTTTTGTTTGCCAACTTTTCACTTAAATTTAATGTGACTTGTCTTTTTTCTTTTCTTTTTAAACTTATTAGCAATTTTCATGAAAAAATCAACATTAATATTTTGAGACCGACCAGTACTGAACTTGACATTTAAAAAAGAAAATGTTGTGATCCTTGCATAAATAGCCATAAACATACACTAATTAGTGCATTAGTCTTCATATAACAACATTTAATAAACTACATAAATAAGATGATATGGATGGGAGAGACAATAAATGTAATGATATTCAAAAAAGGAAGAAGAGTGTTGAAGGAAGCTTTCAGCTTTGAGGATATGGTGTCTGAACCATAAAAAAGGTACAATAAGGCTCTGTTTCTGTGAAAGTCCCTTACTTATTACTTCACCACACAACACAACACAACACAACACATCTCTCTCTCTCTCTACATACATTACACAATACATACACATTGAGAGATATGATTGTGGGGGTCTGTGGAAACATGATGTCATAACAAAAGTGGGTCTCTCTCTATCTCTCTTTCTGATTCTTGTAAGGAAAGTGATCTCAACTGTTGCTTTTTTATTTTTATTTGATGTATATATTGTGGGGATATAGAGAGAGAGAGAGAGAGAGAAAGATATGATTCTCTCTTCTTACATTTGTGGTCCAAAATTGTTTTTCAAAATTCTAAGAGCTGCTGCTGCTGCTGGTCGTTTGGTTTTGGTAAGAGTTTGTTGGTTTTGAAGATTTGAAAGAAACAAACATCAAATACTATTGAATAAAAAGTTTACATTACATAAACAATGGTAGACCGATACAATAAGGAAGCCTTAGCTTTAAGATCTAAGCTACAATATTATTCCTCTATACATAGTTGTGACTAGAATTTATGTATTACATAGTACAAATTCAAGTTACAGATCCAAATGATCCAGTTCAAAAAAGAAATTAAAGATCCAATAATCTAAGTCCAAAAACCTTTTTATGTTAACTTCTCCATTTTTCCGATGGAAACATTACAAAAAGATTTGAGAATTGAATAAATGAAATTGCTCTATATTTCATATTCTTATTAGGTTGGTTCTTAAGCGAAAAACCAGGGAAGAATATGAACCTGAGGGTTCCCTTTAGCTGTCCGTTTGATGCGTTTTTTGTTTAGCCACCGTAATTTTCCAACTGCTGCATCTGTTGCTACCATTTTTTTCCGTCTTTGGTTCTGCGACTGTGTCTCTGGCTCCGTTGATCTGTTTAACAGATATCAATCAAACAAATGGGTTCAGGAAGGAAAAATAAAAAGGGAAGCAGTGCAAACAACTGAATGAAGTGAAGGTATAGAGATTTCAAGAAAGTGTGTGGCAAACATGTTTAGAGAAAGCCTGTATGGCACAAGGAACAAACCTAGCGGGATCAATCTGTGGCGTAGATTCTGCCAGTGGACAGCAAGCGGAGCAGACATAAACCTTAGGCCGCCAATGAAGTTTTAAACAGTAGGTGTGATACCATTCGCCACACTGATTACAAGATACCATGGATCTTGAGTTGTATGGCTTTAGACAAATGCAGTGTAACATACTCCGAGCTCGTAAAGACTGCATCAATCGACCATGATACAAAGATTGTTAGATAACGGTAAGGTTATGTGTTAAGCTTTTATTAACATTCATTTCATATTTAACCTGAAGTTCCTGCTCTGGATGGACAGGTAAATTTTCACCCTCAGAGATAAGCTCGAAAACATCTTCTAACGCAAGAGCGCCCGAGTCTGTCACCACCTGCAGATAAAACCAATAGCTCTCACTTTCGTTAAAAATTCCAAAAAGATACCAAGCTATTGACTGAGAAAACATGTAATATGGTCAATTACTTTTCTAGCTCGTTTTGCCCACTCCAGTCCAATGTCTTTTAACTCCACGAGTCTCTTGCCTAAGTGATACTCTTCAGGTAATATTTCCAGTGTTTGTCCCTGTCAATAATGAAAATGACCGAAACTTATCAACCAGATCCATGTAGTGTCAACGTATTTATTGAAAATCCAAAGAGAAGGAGACTGATACATTAGTCGAACATACCTCTTCTACATGCTGCTGAATTTGCTGTAACGAGGGCTTTCCTACATCTTTTAGCAACTGCCATTTAAAGACGCACTTAAAAAATCAAAAGAGGGTACATAATTACACTAAGTACCAAAAACTAATTAAAACTAAAGAAATCTAAATGTACCTCAGAGGAAGGTGAGCTAGAGGTTAACGTGATGGTCTTACTACACCATCCTAGTTTTAGACTTGCAGCCCGAAGTTTGGGAAGTTCATCGAAACTGAGACCAAGGGCCAGACCAGATTCTCTAGCAGAGTCCACTCTGGTTATCAAATCCATAATCTTCGGAAGGATACAGCTATGCATGCCATCATCTACCTTCAAATTGTCCAATAAATCTTCCGTTTCTTGCAAGAGCTGATTATTATCACACTGCCATCTCTCGCAGTTACGCAACAATGTTTCAAGAACATCCGGCTCTTGAAGCTGAACGTTGAGCGATTTAGACTGAAAAACTAGGTCCTGCAAAAAAATTAAAGCTTTGAATACTCCAAAAATCACATCAGCTACCAAAAAATACAGAAACCAAAGTAGGCACAGAGGTAGACAAACTTTTAACACAGGAAGTTCAAGCAGAGAACATGGAGATGATGCCATAGAGGAAGTGGCTGATAAAAAAGGCTCAGATTTCTGAAGCCAAGTTTCGGCCAACGAGATTGTGTTCTCTATGCCTTTCAGAGAAGGCAAAACCGCATCAATGTTGACTGACATCCTAGAACAAACATCGTTTGATAAATAAAAGACTCAAAAAAACACTAAGAATGAGCTGAAGTATAAAAATTTGCAAGCCTGAACAAAGAATATATACCTTACGAGCTCTTTAAGGTCAAACATCTGAGTTTCACTGGCAAGGATACAGCTTGCTCTTTCCTCCCAACACCTTGCTGTTGACAAAATTCCCGAGATCTCAACAAATAACTTTTCCTCATCGATGTGTAGCCTGGAAATATAAAATGTTAGCATGAAAATAGAAATAAAGTAGAATGCATATTACATATTCTATAATCAATATTTGGGGACAACGTACACAACAGCTTCCGAGAGCAGCTGCTCAATGAAATCCAGAGACCTTCTTGCAGTATAAACCTACATCAAATTCCATACAAAAAATCAGCATTAAAGAAAGAGCACTGGGACCACGAAACCTAAAGCAATTTCATCAATTATTATATAAAACAATATGCATTTTACATTCGACATGAAAACAATGCGAAGAATTACAGCGAAGCCTATTCAAGATATCATGATAACTGCAGCAGAAAAATGAGAGATACAAAGTCAGACAGTAAAGAAAGAGAAAACATGTACCATTCGAGCCTTTTCCCGACAAGATGCCTTCTTCAATTCAACCTCAACAAGAGGCAGTGCTTCAACTATTTCAGATACTGCAGTATTGGTTAAGCTATCAGTCTATCACTACGCATTATAATGCAAAACTAGGTGGAACACAGATAACACACACTAAAAGAATGTTCAAGTATATAAGAAAGACCTTGAATATCTAAGGATGCTCCATCCTGTAGAAGGGAACTCAGGTCACTAATTAGCTTTTGTTGGTCCTTGCCGTCACGAACATCAACCATTATATCATTATAGCATGAAATCCAAGACAAATTTTCAACATAGTACTGCCTTAGGATAGTCAACTCAGGAACGTTGATGCTGAAATTATCAAATTCATGAAGCAACTCTTCCGCATTCTGTACAGAAGAAAACAAACACTTCAGAAAGATCCAACAAAAGCTTGTTGTTAATCACACTGAAAGATACAGAACAAAAGTACAGCCAACCTTGAGAGATAAAGAACCACTCAAAACTTTATTACATTTATCACGGGCTAATTCTGATTTCTTTAGCAAATCCAGAATCCCTTCTGTTTCTGGAAGTTGCACCTGAAGCTCTAACATCTATTAAGGAAAAAGAACGATTATAATTTAAAATACATGAAAAAGTAACATAATTATCATTTTCAGAATAAGGACAATACATTCACCTCAGACTTAAGCTTGAAAAGTGCATCCATTTCAACGCCTGGAGCTTTAGTGTCCACGAAACAGAGTCTCGCCCTTTCAGCTATCATCTGCAGAACCATGAGGAAAAGAGACGATTAAATTCAAGAAAACGCAAAAAAACTGAAAGAGAACCTGAAGAATAAAACTAGACTAGGATTTCGGTAGTAGGCTTTACAAAAATAGTAGCCGAATACATCTAAATTTCTTATGCACCCATGTAATTCAAAATGGTGTCAGTCTCTCTACGACCTTTGTGGATATGAATGCATTGAGAAAATACTGCATAGATACCCTTAAGATTAACAAGGACCCAAGACAAACTAAAATTTTGTCATAAACATAGTCATCAATAACCAAGGTGGATATTGACCCCTAGAGAAGGATATCTATATATATTTGAATTCACCGACGAAATATGTACGACGATTATCATAAACAAACCACCACCCTTGCCAATACTGATATACGGGTTCACCAGGTTGTTAATGGATATTAATCAACATGTCTCATATTATTCTATATGGAATCGTAATATAAACCAATATGAAATATCCACGTATTCGACTTAACTCACACACCACATAACAGATTCCCTAGTTATTTAAAATAGAAAACATGACTACTAAGTTATCGTAAACTAGGGGAAAGGGAAAAAATAACTATGCCATGTTGGTCTAAACGATGGTTTACCTTGGCAGAAGAGATCTTCTTTGACAAGATCTCATGTTTTCTAAAGGAGATCGGTGAACTAGAGACTTCAGAATGCAATAGCTCCAGCTGGGTGATCTAGAAACAAAAAACAAGTAACATCAATCAAAATGCATAACATTAATAATTTCACTGGATTTAGTCAGATTGGACTGTCATGTAACTAAAAGGCATTGTCCTAAAGACTATGTGGGGAAGAGAGGGGGTTTGTAGTGGCATACAGTTAAGCTACTTGACAGAGCTGAATCGATTTTCTCAGATAATTTTGTAGCCTCTTCAGCATAGTTCTACACAAAAATGGAAACGTGTAAACAATGTAATAACATTATGGCAAACAAACAGTAATGATCTAAAGGAAAACTGAGATATCGCAGCTATATGGCTAACCTTTAATTTCCGATAACCAGACTGAAAGCAAGGAACGGGGTTAACTCTCACCAACTCATCAATAAATTCCAAGTGAACTTTCATTGAATCATTGTTGGCTTCACCTTCGACTTTTGAAAGACAATCGCTAACAGCTTCAGCCCATATCTTTGCTTTGATCAAACTTTTTGTAACATCTCGTACCTGTGTGACAAGAATATCTTTTTTTCCAAAATCTACCAAAAGACATATATACAAAAGCAATTCCAACAAATACTTTAAAAACTCACACGGTCCATTTCTGATCCAGCCCAAAGAAACTGTTCTGCTTCCTTCAAAAGAGTGGCATATTCAACACTAGAAAAGGAACTGTCAAGAACCTTTGATGCTCGAAGAAGCCAATTGTCAGCTGGTCGTGCCTGACTCACTTGCATTCCCTCCTAGTTAAAATGAGAAGAACAACAACAGTTTTTATCATAAGATAGGAAGATTGCTAACTTACTTAATACTAGATTTTCTCTAATTCAGCAGTTTATTTGCAAACCCTTATAAATTTACCTTTTTGTTGAAAGCATTAGATCGTTTGGTGCCTGAACTAGGCCGTTGTGAGTTTTTGGTTTCTTGTGTTTTGCAGCCACCAAAATTTTCAGCTTCTTGTACCATCCTATCCAGCTCGGCAAGGGTATAACGATATACAAGACGCAACTTCGTAGGTTCACATTCACAAAGGTGCTTCCAGTGCTGAATTCAAGATTACAAAACTCTTATGATATAGCAAAATCAATAAATTATATTCTTAAAGAAAAATATGTCTACAATATTAGAGCCCCAAGAGTTTCTATTTTGTAAAAAAAAAAAAGTTAGGCTCTGCCTGAAGTGGATCGGTCTCAAAAAAGTTGGACAGAAATATTTACCTCCAAGCATGCAAAAACAGATGGCCTGCAATTGCAGACAATAGCAGAAAGATGAAGAAACTGCTGGCAGATGATACATGTTGGATCCTATACCATTATAAAGCATCCACACATCAGAGCATTCTCTTATGCAAACTATAATAATAAGAGTAGAAAACTTTTAACAATGAAACCAACGATATCTGATTGCAGAAATAAAAACCTCTTCGATGTCCACAGAATCAGGACATTCAGGTACAAACATAGGAGAAGATCTCAAAATACCACTTTTCCAGAGCTGCTCTCTCCAGTTTTTTTCCTTGCTGTATATTCTGAGCAATTCTTTCTTCAAATGTATTGATCCTTCTCTATTGCAGCAGTTTCCCTATACGAGAATACAATTGAATCAATCACTTAAGATACGAAAAAGTCCACATTTGTTGCTTGAAACTAGCATATACAATTGTACTAGTAACCAAAGATGATAAAATTGATAGTGGTTCATCGCCCATCAAGTAATAAAAGATGCCTCGTTCAATGTTGATATCTCCAGTAGCCACTACCCATTTGATCTATAACTAAATCTTCTTTTGTGAATGCAAATGAGATAGAATTTTTAATTAACAAAACCAACAAACTCAATGGACTCATGAAAGCAGTATAAGCAATATCGCCATCATGTGGCATGAGCATATAATCTGAAAGAGATAAATTAGTACCAGCCCAACAAATCAATACAAATCATGGGACATGTGTCCAACCGGAGGTAAATGGCAATACAACTCATCTCACTAGCCTATCATATCAAGTTTTTAACGCTGTTCATATTTTCTTTCTTACCTTAGCTACCACACAGAGAAGCTCCTCATGAGATATGACTGAAGGTTTCCGGTATAGCCGATACAGCTCCGCCCCAGAACCACCATGAGGTAGCCAATCAGCAGTGGCAAAGTTGACAGCTTCTGCACAATTTAAACCTGGAAAGAGAACATATGCTAGTATATCATAAACTGCACAATAATATTGGAAAGAAACTCCCTAATGCAATTAATTGAACACTTTAACCCGCAAAACTAGTCATGTCACTACTATAACTAAAGATAGGAGTTGGCGTACCAAAATTGAATCCAGCATGAAAGGATTTTGGAAATGTGATCACGAAGTTTCCAGGCTCCTAACAATGAACAAAAGTAGAGGGATTGTGTTAATAAACCAAACAAGCTCAGTGATTCTAGGAGGAAAGTTACTATTAATTAACTACAAATAACTTCCAAACTAGGAATTGAAATGCTAACAATGAAATAAGCTCATAAATGAGCTATATACTCGTATATCAAACCTGTAATACTGAGTAGACTGGGACTTTATTTTCTTGTAAAACAGTCGGACTCAACATGGTAACCAGTTGAAAGAGTAAATCTGGCTGAGCATCAAAAAGATCGGGAAGAGTTTTCCGCATGACCTACAGAAATCAAGCAGCGTAAGCACCTACTCTTTTCTTTCTGAAAATAAGCTAGAAATATACATTTCAATGAAGAAGAGAGAACTTCTACTGGACTATGAATAACTAACCAATTTTAAGAGCAAAGACTAAAACCCTTTGGAGGGGCAGAGCAAAAAAAAAACTAACCTTTTCAAAAGCACTAGCAGCACTTCCTGGAACACCATACCAACATTTTGCCTCTCCCCTGAGGTGTGAATCAAAAAGAAATTGATAAAAGGCGCAATTAAAAGACTCTATGGATGATACATTTCGTTATAAATTAGAGAGTTCCAGTAATTCTTAGAGACATCTTCTCCCTAAGACCAAGACAAAATAAGGAACAGAGGAAAGGAATTTGCGACTTCCAAGAATCGAAAAATGATGCTGTACTCTAAATGCTTCAAAAGAGCGATAAATTATTGTAGAAAGAATTAGGATGAAAATTACAGTACAGGTAACATACCAGTGTAGATAATTCACAGAGTAAAAACAATGGTCTTCAAAATGCCAACAAAAGGAAGAGAAGAGCATTCCAAGATATAGCCAAGGCACTGTAACACCATTAATGTTATGACGAATGGCCTGAAGCATAGATCCTTTCAACTTAGGCATGTTATTGAGATTCCAAGGGCTAGCACAATATTCATCCCATATATTAGCCTCAACTGATTCTGGTCTTTGATCACCTATTCGAGGGAAACCACTTCCGTAAACAGAAGTATCCAAGTCATTACCATACATAACTTCAACTTCACCACCTGACCCTTCTACTATCTCCCAAAACTTCTTCTCTATCTGCGCCCTAGACACTGATCCTGAACCAAACCACTTTCTTTTGGCGCGATCAGCAATGCGCTTAAAATCTTCTAGTAATAAGCATTTACCGGGAACAAAGCCAAAAGTTTCTTCATCAGTGTTTAAGCACTCAAGACAATACCAGTTCCCAAGTGGGATATGCTTCAGTGGTGGCGAGAGACAATATATATGCCAACCTTTATTACAACTATCACACAAAAGCATCACTTCACCGTGTTTGCCACTTTTACATTGCTCACATGCTTGATCAACCACTTCTTCAATTTCCACCTTAGGATTCTTTTCATCACCACTTCTTTTTCTTCTCTTTGAGCTCCGAGATTGAGAACACCGCCTATTCCGTTCAACAGCAGCATTGATTTTTCTTTTGCAGCTCTTTGACGCATCTGCATTCATCCGATTGTGATAATTCTCAAAATCATGCAAATGCTCTTTGTACAGCTGACACAAGACATGCTTAGCACACTTCGAAATCTTTTCACCAGAGCTCATAAACTGATAGACCTCACCCCATTTTTTCCCTTTAACAACCTTTTCGTAACCCCCAAAACGCTTCACCGCATTGAACAGCTTACACAAATCCAAGTCCTCTCCTTCAAAAACAACTCTCTTCTTCAGCTTCTTACCTAAATGCTCCTCTAAAAACCTACTGTACTCCAACTGAAACGTCTTTGAGTTACAAGAAGCAGGACGAAACTGCAACCGATGAATCTCTTGTGTCTTTGTTGGGAACTTGACAGATTCCAAATCCAAACCAAAAGGAGGTTTCCAAGAACTAGGTGGAACAATCTTGCAAATACCATAAACCTCTGCCTCTGGCTTGATCTTGTATATGTACTCTAATGGATCTTTGAATTCATCTTCTGTCGGATGATAAACAGGTCCTAACGGAACATTGATCGATCCTCTAAGTTTCTGATCTAAAACCCTTTTCTCCACTGCCTTAACTCTACCTTTCCCCATTACCAAACACATCAACTAAAACCGCACAATCATAACCTACGAATATATCAATGATTATATATTAATCCAATTCAAACACGCAAAGATCAAAACCCTAATTCTAGAACAGTGAGTGAGAAATACAATTCTAGGGTTTGTAGCAAATTTATACCTTTTGAAACTGTGAACGAGAAGAAAACAGAACAGAGCTCGTGAAACTAGAGTTGCTGCGGAGACGAGGAAGTGTTTCAAGAATGTTTTGTTTTTGACGAATTTTGTTTGAGAAGATTTGGAAAAGTAAATAAAAAAGATTTTAATTCTTTTATAAAGCTCTGTTACTGAATTTCCAAAATTGGGTTTGGTTCATAACTGAAATTACGGGGACGGAGAGAGAAGGAAGAAATCTTCTCAGTTCTTGTCTACGGCGAAAGGACTACGTGCCGTTTACTCTGATCGAAGATGTACTACGTGTAGTTTTTCTATTTACTCGCGGTGGGCTCATATTTATGTTGCTTGATGGTAAGGCTAAGTAAGGCCCATAAATAAACCTGCCCAAAAGCTAATGTTCTTTTTGGTAAGAACCAAAAACTAATGTTATAGAGACAATTTGTATAACTAGGATTTTTGGGAAGTTTTAACATAAATTAAATATAAGTTTAAATATTTAAAAATTAGTTAAATAGACTATTTTGTTAATAAATTTTTTTGTTTGAGGGTTTAAATTTGGAATTTAGTTTTTAGATTTTAAAATTGTTTAATTTAAATAATCTATAACTATTTTATAATTTTATATAACATTGAGACTATGTCCATAATTTTCCTAATATTAGGATTTGAGCTTAGGTTTATAGTGTAATGCTATCTGCTTGATTTCAATCATTCTTATGTATATTTCCAATTGTAATGAGTTGACTAGAAGCATTCTAAAGGGACCTCTCTCATTCAATGTTTATTTTGCTTTTTCAAATGATTTATAGATTGGAGAAAGTAAATTACACCTATCATTTAACGAGTTCCACACATGTAATTTTGAATACCTCTTGGCAAGAGTCAACTAAATTTGCATAATTTACTCTTTGTTGACACCTACACAAGTCCCCTCTCTCTATATAATGCTTTATCCAATCTTCTAACGTCTAAACCAACATCATCGCAAACATTTTCAACATATAATTTTATTTTTATCTCAATCTTTTGAAGTCTAAACCAAAACGCTTATATTTGATTTACAAGTTTCTTAAGCATAAAAATAAAAATAATTGAGAAATAGTCAGATATAAATTTAAATATTTTTAAGTAAAATTTGTGTGTTTTTTCAAGATAAAAGAAATGAAATAAATAAGCAAAAATTTTATTTTTTTAACGAAATCACAGGTACGAGGGGATGGTCGGTGAAAAGGCGTTTCTACTGTTGAAAGAGAACAAAAAAAAAAAAATGTCAAGAGCGTTATGTCGGTGGCCAAATTTTGATAAAACTGTGTTTATTTAATTTTCTTTTTCCACGTTCACATTATCATAATCTTTATAAATATTTTCATTTTGAGTTAGAAAAAAGATAATAAAACTGTTTACTTGAATAAGCTACATGCGACAAGGAATACATGTGTATGTGAATATATGTACTTATGTAGTAAGGAATATGAAAAAATTAAAGCTATACGAAATTATCTATATACTATTTGATTGACAGCTATGGAACATTTTTAGATGGAGTTGTGGAATACGGTACCATACACGACGCGTCCAAATTTATATATATCATTGACAAAAAGAAAAAACACACCATGTTTGGTTTTGTAAGTTTACTGTTTTTATTATCTTTAAAGAAACATATAAGAATAACATAGTTTAGATGTTAATCTAATCATCGTAAAACAAAGTAAGAAAGTGACTGGTAATTGCATTTACATATATCTACGTTTGGAGTAGATTACTTACGGTGAGGGACATTTATACTCATTTCCACGTTTGGCACCACCAAATTTATTTTGTCTTTTGATAACCATTTCCGGAATAAGTATACTTTTATCATTTTAAACGTTTACAAAAATTCATATAACATTATCATTTGTAACAAACATTAATTTGCATCATCTTTTTGCGACGATATAAGTTAATATCGACCAATTTGTAAATGTTTAGAAGAAGAAAAACACTCCTAATAGAATAGAATAAAATAATTGGTAATTGATAATTCAAAATTGAAGGGTTTAATGTGTGATAGCAAATATGAGTTGTTTCTTAGTTATTTTTTTGACCCACTGGTTGAGTTGACTTGGTGAGGCCTGCTGCTTTGCTGTGTTTCTCTTCTTTTCTTCTTATGAAACCAAAAAAAAAACAAAAGTTTTAATTTTTATTTTTAACTTTCTGGCAAAGTTCTCTGCTTTTGTCTCTCCAACAAAAGGATAGAAAAAATAAAAAAAAGAGAGAAAGTTGCAGAAAACAATCTCTCTGTTCTTTGAGCTTTCCCTTTGAGCTCACCACACGAGCGGCTCCTCGATTTGTCATTTCACTTTTTCTCTTTTCCTTCTTCTTCTTCTTCTTTCAATTTCCACAGATCGTTTTCTCAGATTTTGACCCTTTTTGTTCTTCTTCCTCTTAAAGTAGGAGAACATCACAAAACTGGGTTTTTTCTTCTTTCTGAATTCTGAAGAGATTCTTCACGGATTTGATTTGTCTAAACTAGGAAAAGTCTCGATTTTTATATAAATCTAGCTAATTATAGAAGACGCGGTTTAGGGTTTATGGTTTGACTGGAAAAGAAGAAATACTGAAATGGGCTGTGAGGTTTCGAAGCTATGTGCATTTTGTTGTGTATCAGAACCTGAAGGATCCAATCATGGAGTCTCTGGGTTAGGTAAAGATCTCTTTTTTTTTTTCTAGGGTTTGTTTGTTTGGTTTCTCTATGATTGAATTGTTTCTAATGGTGGATTTTGTTTTTTTTAAAATTTAGATGAGGATAGGAGAGGTGAAGGGAATGATTTGCCTCAGTTTCGTGAATTCTCAATTGAGACGTTGAGGAACGCTACATCAGGATTTGCTGCAGAGAATATAGTTTCAGAGCATGGTGAAAAAGCTCCTAATGTTGTGTATAAAGGGAAATTGGATAATCAAAGACGTATTGCTGTTAAAAGGTTTAATAGGAAAGCTTGGCCTGATTCTCGTCAGTTTCTGGTAATAGCCTTTTTCTTGGATTTTGCTTTATAAAAGTCCTTTACCCTTTTTCTCAATCTGGATTTTGAATCTCTGAGCTTGTTTTTGTAGGAGGAAGCTAAAGCTGTTGGTCAATTAAGGAACTATAGAATGGCAAACCTTCTTGGATGTTGTTATGAAGGTGAAGAGAGACTTCTTGTTGCTGAGTTTATGCCTAATGAAACTTTGGCCAAGCATCTTTTCCATTGTAAGTTCTTGAATTTACTGTAAGTTACTTCATCTATTTCACTCGTCTCTTTGGTTAGGATTTTGTAGTAACTATTATTTTGTTTTTCTAGGGGAGACACAACCGATGAAGTGGGCAATGCGACTAAGAGTAGCTTTACATATTGCTCAAGCTTTAGAATATTGTACTGGCAAAGGACGTGCACTCTACCATGACTTAAATGCTTATAGAGTTCTCTTTGATGATGTAATTTAAGCTTCACTTCTTACTTTTGTCTTTCTTCATATGTGCATATATAAAAATCATCATATGTTTTGTCTTTTGTAGGACTCGAATCCAAGACTTTCGTGCTTCGGTCTGATGAAAAATAGTAGAGACGGAAAGAGTTACAGTACCAATCTGGCGTTCACTCCTCCTGAGTATCTCAGAACAGGTATTTACTTGAAGTCTTACATATCAGTTTCTTTATTTGGATTGTCGCTACTCTTCTTCTGACTTATTAGTTTGTGTTTTTGTTTCTACAGGTCGGGTGACACCAGAAAGTGTGATGTACAGTTATGGAACTCTGTTACTTGATCTTCTTAGTGGAAAACACATTCCTCCAAGCCATGTAAGCATATGATTAAGATACTATAACAATCAATCACCACCAAATTATTGTTGAACACTAATCAAATCTCCTAGAGAAAACTGTATCTTTCTGACTAACACTTTACGTGTTCTGCGTATTATTAGGCGCTGGACCTCATACGGGACAGGAACATTCAAATGTTGATCGATTCATGCTTGGAGGGTCAATTTTCAAGTGACGACGGGACTGAACTAATACGGTTAGCTTCTAGATGCTTGCAGTATGAGCCCCGAGAGCGACCTAACCCGAAGTCTCTAGTTACTGCAATGATCCCTCTACAGAAGGATCTTGAGGTGCTTTCTTGCTACCATTAACTAGTCTACTTTCCATCTATCTTTTGCAAGCTCTTGTATCTTTTGATTGCTTATCTTTTTTTGCTTTCGAGAAGATTATTTCCGACACTAATAAGAAACTGGTTGATTCATGCTAGACTCCTTCTCATGAACTGATGGGCATACCAAGCAGCGCCTCAACCACACCCCTTTCACCACTTGGAGAAGCATGCCTAAGAACAGATCTAACTGCCATACATGAGATTCTGGAAAAGCTTAGCTATAAAGATGATGAGGGTGCAGCCACAGAGGTTACTTTCTTAATTCTTAACCTTGGAATTTAATTATACTCTCGTAATTGTCTCACTGTGTATTCGGGATTGGGCGACCTTGTTCCTTATTGTAATCTGATCACCTTTTTGGTTTGCTTGTTTCTCTACAAAAATTTCAGCTTTCGTTCCAGATGTGGACCAATCAGATGCAAGACTCACTGAACTTCAAGAAAAAGGGCGATGTTGCTTTCCGGCATAAAGACTTTGCAAATGCCATTGATTGCTATTCCCAGGTTAGATCATTTCTACTGCCATTGTTTTGTGTCTTCAAAGTATAAGTTTCCAGATAAACGGTAGTGTTTAAATCTCGGCAACCCTATGACAAATCTGACAAAGAATGTGTTTGGACAGTTCATTGAGGGAGGGACAATGGTTTCCCCTACTGTTTATGCGAGAAGAAGTCTGTGTTACCTAATGAATGAGCAGCCCCAGGAGGCGCTGAATGATGCAATGCAAGCGCAAGTGATATCTCCTGCTTGGCATATCGCATCGTATCTTCAGTCTGTAGCTCTGTCAGCTCTAGGACAAGAGAATGAAGCACATGCTGCTCTTAAAGACGGATCAATGCTCGAAAGCAAAAGAAACACACTATGATGATGATGATGATAACAGAAAACACGAAGAGGAATAGAGAGAGGAAAATACAAGATATCTCCTTACATTAACCGAAACTCCCTACAGGCTTTGCAGAATAAGATCAAAACTCACCATCCTCCCAAGTAGAAGCTACAACGCAGTTCTCATATCGTGTGCATTATCATCATCATCACTGGTTAGTTTCTTTTTTTCGTCTCATACCCCTTTTCTTTTCTTTTCTTTTTTCAAATACTAGAAGCATTCATTTGGTTTACTACCTTGAATTGGACTCCTTTTCCTGTTTTTGGTTACTGGCATGAACATTTCCCTGTTATACAGAAGAAAAAGTTACTTACTTTGATGGAGATTTAATGGGGAAAAAACCCTGGAAATGGTGTGATTGTGGATTTGCTTTGATGGGTTCCATGATTTGTAATCTATGTTTTATAATATGTAATGTAAAGAAGAGAGCATTTTTGGGGTTTTTAATGATCTTTTTGAGATTTGCATTTCTGGAATTGTTCTTCAGATCTCAATACTATTTCATACTTTACTACAAAGCCACAATCACAAGCATGTACTCATCATAGCTGTTCATTAGTCTAAGCTCTCGTATGACTCACAATTAATTAGTCATAGGAATCTGAATAGTTTTTAATAGTTGTATTTATTCTAACTAAATCAACAATGATCATCAAGATGTTATAGGACACCTGTAACGCATTTAAAAAAAAAATATTAGCAAAACGAAAAAAGGGCCCAACCGGGTTCGAACCGGTGACCTCTCGATCTGCAGTCGAATGCTCTACCACTGAGCTATGGACCCTTGGATGTCTAAATATTTCCCAGACTGTTCTCATATATAATTATTTATAAAATTGGGCTTTAAAGACAATATTTTAAGTGTCTGTAAAAGCCCATTAAGAAAGCAACAGACATTATTTTCTATGAGGAAACTATTAATTGCATCTCTCTACTAGTTTTACCAATTTATGTGTTCTTAAGTTCTAACTTCTGTTGCACAAAAAAAAGAAAAAGTTGTTCCTACCAAAAAAAAAAAAAAAGAAAAAGTTGTAACTTCTAACCATGGCATAATAATATTATTAATTCAAAGAGAGCTAGCTTTTTTTCTTTCTATTTTAATGTAACGGTCATTAATTGTGAATGATGCATATGATTAAAGGTCTATCTTTAAAATGACCCTTGAGGATCACTACTCTGAAACCATCAATTGGTATTTGATTGTTACTTTTTGCACACCCTTTCTATGATTGGCTTAGACTGCAAGTGAAATATAGCTTTTCTTTCTTTTGTGCGTAAACTTTTGTCTGTTGCTTTCATTACATTCACAACTACTTGATTCCTATGTTACTTGTGGTGGGGCTTTAGATCTGTAAGAGCGTAGCCTGAACATTTTTGACTTCCCTATCAAGACTTTGCAAGTTTCACAATCAGTGATATAGTTTCGTCAACAAAGTTTGCAGCCAGATTTTGCTGTGATTGGTAAGTGATCCTTTCTATATTCATTTTGCATTATCTGTTTGTTTAGCTTCTTTAGTATTACAGTACTGATATACAATGTTCTTGCCTTGAACAAATCTTCTGCAGAAGTTTGGTCATATGGTAATAGAGAGATTAGTTAATTTATACTAGAGCAGCAAAAAAAGATGGCACAGAGTTCTGAAAATGTTCTTCCTACTCTACGAGATTTCTTCAATTCCAAAAAGCCAGGGGAAGAAGATGAGTTTATGTTTTATCGGGCGCTTAACTCCTCCTGCAAGAAACCTCCAAAACCGGGAAACAAGCCAAAGGAGAGACACGGTTTCTTCAATCAGGGATCCAAGGAGAGAAGCAGAAGGAATATATCAGATGCTGAAAAGTTTTCAGTGGAGCAATATTCTTCTGGTGGTTTTTTCGGGGTACGGTTAAACACGAATGGGAGACAACAGCAACAACAACAACAACGATCAACTAAACCTTTAGGCTCAGAGAGGAACATGGAACCAAGATTGCAAAAGTCATTCTCTGCTAGAATGCAATTGCCCTTTATGCCTTCTTCAAAGGGAAGCAATCAGTATTCTTCTACTAATACTTCAAGCTCAACGAGCTGGTTTAGTCGTATCAAGAAAATGTCAAATCCGTTTTCAAATCGAAATCCTCTGATACCGAAATCAGGTGAAATCAGCGGAGAAATGGTCTCAAGAAACAAGTCATTGAGAAAGTCATCACCTGTTCATCTACATGCTTATCTCAGTATAGAATATGAACTTGGGATGCCTGTTTTCACCTTCTCGCTAGACCGCCCGGATGATGTATATATGGCCAGTACAAGAATGGATGATAATGACTCCCGGTTTGTCTATTCGTTTCGCTATATCGGTGGTAGAAGCAATAAGAATCTCAGTGAACAGAGGTTGAATGTTTCAGGTAAAGAATCTTCACTAATAGGACAGATGCAAGTTTCAACTCAGATCTGCTTAGAGTCAGAACCATATGAAGAAGATCTTGTGGAATCAACTGTGTCAGAATTCGTTCTTTTCGACATTGCACGTGCAAGAAGAAGTGGCTTCAAGCATGAAAACTTGTCAAGACAGAACAGTTTCAGACGAGGATTAGACCTGAGTCAATCAATATTCTCAGAGACAGAGAACAGTATTGCATCTGATCTAAGACATGAAAAGCTTCCAAGGCAGAATAGTTTCAGCCGAGGATTGATGCGTAGTCTATCAAAACATTCAGAGAACTCTGCATCTGATCCTTGGCCAGCCTCAGATTTACATCCGGGACTAGAGATTGCAGCAATTGTTATTCAAGACTCTTCTGCAAACAGCAAACTCTCTAGCCGTGAGATGAAAGTCATAGTTCCAACAGGAAACCACGGTTTGCCTGATACCGAAAACGCATGTCCTACACCAATACTGCAAAGATGGAGATCAGGTGGAGGCTGTGACTGTAGCGGATGGGACATGGGGTGTAACCTATTTGTACTAGAATCTCCTGAACTCACCAACAATCATCAGGGTTTGGAACTTTACATAGAGGTAAGAATATGTTTCTTGTGGTACAAAAATGGTGTATCAACTTGTCTCTCTTGATCTTGACATACATATTAAAAAAAAAACTGTGTTTCAGGGTGAGAAGGAGATCACAGCAGCAATGACAATGGCATTGATCAGAGAAGGACTTTACGAGGTTAACTTCCACGCAAAGCTCTCAGCGTTACAAGCATTCTCAGTGTGTATATCCGAGCTGCACAGAAGTGAAGTCTCAAGAGGAGAAATAAGCAACTCTTTGTCTAGATGCAGTTCACTCAGAGAGCTTATCGACATGGAAACTCCGGTGAATACAAGAGATGCCCATTCTTCTTTCATGCCTAATGTCACATTCTCTCCGATTTCAAGGGTTTAAGACACATCACATAGTAATCATCTCTAGCTTCTTCCTCTTATGTGCATATATAGTCATTATACATACCATACAAATAAGTTTTATCAAGAATCTACCGGAATGTTATTAAACTATAACATAAAGAAATGTTTGTTCTTCTTTCTTGCTCATGACTCAAAGAAGTCATTTCTTTCACAATTTTACATCTTTCTTGGTTTCACAATTTTACATCTTTCACAGTTATACGGTTTAGTGTCTAGCGATTTTGCGTCTTGTGAATGCAATTAAAAAATTAAGTAGACCAACAAGGAAACATAATTTTATTTGATATTTGTAGGGAAATTAATCCAATGCAAAAGAAATTTAGAACACAATGTGTGGAGGAGGTTGGTGTTTCTAGCAACAGTTAGGATTTCCGGGTACGCATTGACAAGTATGGTAGACGCAGTTGTGGATAGGACCTTTGCAAAACTTAGCACAGTCTGCATTGGTGTTGCATGTTATTGGCTTCAATATATCGTTTGTGCTCTCTTGCATCCTTGCACTCATCACCACACCTATATACATATACACACAATAAACTCATTATTCACTCACTGTTTTCACAACATTTATAAAATAAACGAATCTACAAATAAGAGATGACGACTTACAAGAGGTAAGGAGAAGAACAAAGAAGAAGGTGGTGAAGGTGAAGGAGCTTTTCATGTTTCTTGTTGCTAAAAGACTTAAACGGCTGTGTGTTTGGAAAAGACTCAAAGACTTGTACAAATTTGTGTGTGATGTGTTATTCCCATTGATCTCGAACGTTCATTATATATACAAAATTCTTTATTAAAAGGAAATAAACCTTAGCTATTTTGTTATTTGACTAAGAAAATTTGTTTAGAAATTTTGACTGAAGCCTGTACAATGTGTCATTCAAAAATCAAAGTTTTCTATACAAGCATTTGTCATTTTTCTAAACAAGGCCAACTCCAAACTTATTCTAGAAATAAATAAAAATAAAAATCTCTAAAAAGCATATAAAATCATTTTTTGATCTCTTCATGACCAAAACTTATTTAAGATAATCATAAATTATATACATTTTATTTTATCAATATAACAGTTTTTTTTAAGTCGTATCTTTCAGCATTTATATATCTTTGTTGGTTCCATTGTTGTATTAAATACTGCTGAGCTAATTTAGTTCGTCGGTTTGGCTTTGTAACAATTGTGTGGCATGTGAATGCAATTATAAATTGAGTGGACGAACAAGGAGACATAATTTTACTAGTATACTGTATATTCGTGTGGTAATTAATCCAATAGAAACTGATGCAGCGAAATATTTGGATACTACCGATTATTATTATTTTAATTTATTTATACTACCTATTCTATAATATTTTAAGTTTTAGGATTTTATCATAAATAATTATTGCAGGAAATTATTTGATAATTTGATTAATCGAAAAATTTGAAATTTATTTATAAACCGAATATTCACAAAACCTAAAAGTTTTTGCGAAAGTTGTGTGAGGAGATTCTCAAACTCTGAGGTATCAACAAATCTCTTATTCTATCCCCAATAACTTCTGCTTAATCAGTTGGTATCAGAACCAAGAATCGTTCCTTGATTTAGAAGTCAAAGAGACGCAACTTTGATATTAACTGATAGAGAATAAGCTTTTAGGGATAGAACTAGAGATACGTTGATTCTCAAAATATATTCGGAAATATAGGGTTTGAGAGTCTTACCTGGCTTTCGCAAAAGCTTTTGGTTTTGTGAATACTCTTCACAATAGTTTATAAAAACCCTCTTTACATCTTTCGTTAAATCAAATTATCAATGATTGGATACAATAGGATCGAAGGCATAAGAAAGCTATTAGCTATATATAATAAAGCATAAAATACTAAAACTCAAAATAATTATAATAAATAAATAAAAAGATAATAACAATAATAATAATAGATATTTAGATAATTTCCAAATATTTTTCTGCATCAAAAATATAGTTAATCAGAAAGAAAAAAATTAAATTCTAGATCAAAATCTAGCAACAATTAGGATTCCGTGGTACGCATGCACTGATGCACAAGTATGAGACTGGCAGTTGTGTATTGGTCCTTTGCACAATCTGCATTGGTGTTGAATGTTATTGGCTTCAATATACCGCTCTTGCCTTCTTGCATCCTTGCACTCATCAGTCATCAGTCATCACGGTGCACACCTATCACCGAACACATTTTATAATTCGTTATATGTTCACAAACACACATAGTAATTTTACAAATACTTATTGAGAAAAGAGATTGTTGCTTAGCAAAGTGAGTTGCCTCTCTATTCATTAGATATACAATATATACTTGTATACAAGAATGTTCTCCAAGTAATGATCCTATATACAAGGTATAAGTGAATAATACATATTCCCTTATCAGAGATGACTAACAAGATGTAAGGAGAAGAGAGTATAGAAGAAGATGGTGAACGTGAAGAGCATTTCATGTTTCTTGCTACTACAAGTCTTAAACCTTGTGTTTTATAAAAGAATTAAAAAGACTTGTACAATTTGTGTGTGTGTGTCCATTGATCTCACGTACATTTATACACCAAAATTTAGGGAGAGATTATAATTAAAAGAAAATTAATTTTAGGTAATTATTATTTTTTTTAACTCTTCATTTATTATTTATTGTAAATTATGAGAATTGTTACAATGACGATTTTACTACCGACAATTCTGTCCGACCCTTTTAGATTCACCACATATTACATCTTCTCCTGACGACACCTCCTTCTCCATGCGTAGAATCACGGCGAACGGCTCTAATTGTGTATTGTTATAGATTTCCTATAAACTTATCTCTTTAATCTGCAAATTAAATAAATCGCATTACCTAGGTGTCGAACCCCAGACCTCTTGGTGTAGAAGGTTAAACAACCTTTCGTCAACCACTAGACTAAGGGAGCTTCCACTTAGTTAATTATTTTGATTTTTTTTTTTGGTAGGAATTATTTTCATATTTGACTAAACATTATGTTTAATTTCCTTCTTTACTATATTTATCCCTAGAAGGAATCTAATTATATAATTCAATATAATTCATTTTAAAATAAATAGCTTTCCTATTCTTAAAATTTTGGCTTATCCTTTTTTTCCCATTCAAAGAAATAAATATATATCTATTTAAGTTAATGAGGAGATTTGATGAAATGGTCCAGCTTTAAAACAACGCCACAAGAACACAGAAAGAAAGAAAAGAAAAAAACAATCTTATAAGAAGAAGCGTTATAGCGACGCAGGCAAAGTGAGGAAATCGTTTCCTATAAATTGTAACCACAAAGTGCTCTTTTCTTTTTTCTTCTTCACACAAACCCTAACCTTTGATTTCTGAATTAAAGCTTCTCCTTCAATCTCTCTTGGTCGTTGCTCCGCTTCCTCACTTCTTGTTCAAAGGTTCGATTTTTTTCTTACAACTCTTACGTTTTTGTCTGATTTTTGATTCCTGTTTCACCAATTTGATTACCGGCCGGTCGCTATTATTCTCCATCTTTTTTTGCTTGATTTGGGTTGTAGATCCTTATCCTCTGTTCGTAACTAGGGTTCTTCAATTACTTCTTTTGCACGCTTTACCATACTTCTCCCTCGTCGATTCGCTTAGTACTGCTCTGTTTTAGATAAAGATCGTTACTTTCTGATGTAATGCCTAGATTTTAGTGGAAATTAAAGGACCTGGATTTAGGGTTTCTGTTGCGTTGTTTTGCTATTCGATTCAATATTTGAATTAGGGTTTCCTCTGATCAATGTGTGTTTTCTTTCTTTGTTAACAGTTTGAGACATCAGAGAGAAGGATGAGAATTGATTTTGCTGAGCCAGAGTGCAGAGACTGTTACCATTGTCGCACTGCAGGCGTACTCAATACCCAAGAATCTGAACTGCACAGTGTGATTGGCTCATCCTTCGCTTCAGTTCCGATTGGTCCCGGAACTCTTCAAGAAGCTCTTGGGCATGTTGTTGTTTCAACCTCATCTTCTTCGCCAACTATCTTTGGATCCGCTCCTGCTGCTACCCCTTCTGTTAATTGCGGACCAGAGCAATCTGTTGACCCAAAACAACGGTCCTTTGGGTCTCCCTCACAAGGACCAGCCTTCCAAGCTCCTATACTAGCTACTAGTTCTGGTTCTGGTGCATCTGGAGCTTCCGCATCCGCAACTTCATCTCCAGATCACAGCTCTTCAGTATTCAAACTCGGATCCGCTCCTGCTGCCACCACATCTGTTAGTTCCGGACCAACGCCAACTCTTGCCCCACCCATCTTCGCAACTGAATCCATATTTAAAGCTCCTGTCCAAGGTAATACTGGTTCGGTTAGTTCTGCTCCAACGCAAGCTTTTGGTCAACCCACATCTGTTTTGGTGCACTCTCTACTCCCACACCACCCAGATTTGGGACAATGCAAGATCCCTTCCAGTCTGGTGCATCTTTTAGCTTTCCGACAGTGCATAGTTTTGGCAAACCTGCTTTTGCAAGACCTGATGTCGGTATCTCGCCAGTAACTTCCTTTTCAAACACTACAACAGGTGTTTTTGGTGCAACTACAGGGATTTTTGGGCAAACGCAAGCTCCTGTCCAAGCTAGCACTTCCACATCCCCACCATTTGGTTGTAACCCAGGAGCCTTGGGGAGTGGCTCTTCACCGTTTACTTCTGCTTTTGGTTACCAGCCAGCATCTTCCTACCCTGCCAGACAAAACACATCGACTGGTTTTGGTACACCTACAGGGAGTTTTTGTTCACAGTTTGGTTCCAAATCTGGAGTGAACTGCAGTGGTTTTCCTGGATTTGGTGTAGGCTACTCGCCTGGGTCTTCCTCTAACCTATTGAGCCCAAATCCACCAAATTTTGGTGGTGGTTCAATAGGTGCAGGTCCTCAATCTTTTGGTGTCCTTGGAGCTACTACTATGTCGCCGAGCTCGCCTCTTTCATCACCTTCTTTATTCAGCACCCATCCCAATATTGGATTCAATCCTTCTGCATCTCATGAATGGAGTTACGGCACTAAACAAGGTAGTAGAACTCCAGCTTATGCGCCTACACATGATGGACAAAACAAATCTGCTTGGGGTCTCCACACAGAAAAAGGCGACACATTCATTTCCATATCTGCTTCTAAGCCTTATCAACACAAAAGCCATGAAGAACTAAGGTGGGAAGATTACAAGCAAGGAGACAAAGGTATTTAACTAACTAACTCACTCATCAGTTCAATCTTCTACTAACATTGTTTCTTTTATATCTCTCTGTAATTTTGACTATTCTCATGTTACAGGTGGGGTTTTTCCTGGTGCTCATACCTATCCCATAGGCTCAAGGCCAATCGCTGCTCCAACTGGTTTCTTCCCTGGTATTACACCATCATTCACAACAGTTCCTTCCATAAACTCGAGTGTTCAGAGACCCCATGAAACCGCTACTTTTCCTCCTCCCCCATCACCCCGATGCACTGCATGTGGAGCAACGAGTAGCTCCTCTGCTTCTGGCCACTTCACCTTTAATGGTGCCACAACTCCTCCATCAGCTGCTACAACTCCTCCCGGGATGTTCTTTCCTGCAACTGGTTTTGGTCCTATGATGTTTGGTGCAACTCCTTCTGTTCAAGGCGCAACTCCAGCTCTCCAAGCCTATCCTGTTCAAGGTTACATTGTTCTCCCGTTCGCGGCCATGAGTCTGCAGTAATTTCTCTTTGCTCTCTGCATCAAAACTCTTTCTTTCAAGTTGTAAGACTAAGTCTCTGTTTTGATTAGATGCAAAAAACAGTTGTCAACTTCATGATTTTTCGTTTTAGTAAAGAAAGATATTTGCTATCATTGATGAAAACGGCTTTAGTTTTACATTTTCTTCTTCTGAATTGGTACAATGTAAACATCATTATTTTGAAAAAACCAACCAACAAGCTTTTTTCTTTCTACTATAGAAGTCTCATCTCCTCTAGAATCATAGTTACATACATTGCTTCTCCGTTTTAATCATAATTTATTTGTTTGTTAACAGAATAGTATGATTATACATGGTCATATGTTTTTGTAAATACCATATTCCAAATGACAGTTTGTGATCAGGTACGACGACTTTGACTCTTGATTTCTTCTTTCCATCAGATATATCTAGAATAAATCCATGTATTGCTTCATACAATAACAAGAGCTGATTATTGGGTTACCTTTATGTGACGTTTTTCTTAGCTTAAAGAACAAGTAATTAAGAAAAGTTGATGTTTGTTGTTCAGAAATATAACTCTTATTGATGAAATCATCTGATTATTTGTATCCCTCTGAATTGGTATTAGACGTTTATGTTTTTGAATGAATTAAATAATAGAAGATCGTTTTCCCTATATAATGGTTAGCTTTCTACAGCTCTGTTTTATTCTATCTTCATAAACAAGAAAAAAAAACACAAAATATGGCCATTTTCCTTATAAGAGTCTGCACTGCTTTACTTTCCCTCTTCTTAGTTCTAGTATCTCACCGTACCATGTCTCAACCTCAACACATGCACACTTTCTGCAACCAAACATCCGACAACTTCACACAAACCAGCTCATACAAGTCAAACCGAGAAGCCCTGCTTTCTTCTCTCCTTGACCGTTCCTCTCTAGGAACTTATTCCAATGCCACAGTCGGTCTCATCCCCGACACAGTCCATGGCATGTTCCTCTGTAGAGGAGACATCACCAGAACATCTTGTTCAGACTGTGTAAAGACCGCAACTCTAGAAATCATAAAAAATAATTGCACTTATACAAAAAAGGCTATAATATATTACGAGGAGTGTATGGTTCGATACTCCAATGAGTCCTTCTTCACCCTCGTAGAAGAAGGCCCTTACGTCGTTAAATACTCTCTTTCTTCTTTTCCTTATTCTTTTTTTAATCCGTTCGCGCAAACCCTATCCAATAAGGTAGAGCAACTAATTATCCTCACAGCATCAAAGTCTTCTTTGTCTTCTTCGACGCCGTATTATGTGAAGGATAGAAAACGTGTGAATGAATTTGATGGCTCGTATACGTTAGACACAATGGTTCAGTGTAGCCCTGATCTTGATCCAGCAAATTGCGGCGTCTGCTTGAGACTTGTAGTCCAAAGTGTCTCAGGCTGTTGCACCAATGCTCGTTGGGCTCACTTTGCTCTTCCTAAATGTTTTTTGAAGTATAACACAACCGGTTTGCCAACTTCTCAGTCACCGAGCGGCTCATCTTCTACTGACGTTATAAAAGGTGAGCAAAATGTGTGTGTATCATATATATATACAGAATCAGGAACTGAGAATTTGATATGTTTGTTTCAGGAAACAAAATATATGGGAGAATCTTCATTACCGCCATGACAACTTCGGTGTTAGCACTTGTTGGTCTATGATCCATCTAGTCCAACGAGTCTGAAGAATTTTGTTTGTAATTTGTATTCCACAAATGTGTTATGTGTGTGACGACCACGTCTGATATGTTAGTTTCTTGTGTATAAAGAAATCAACTAGGTGATAATTCTCATTGTGCACACAAAAAAAAAATGAATATTAACAATATTGTAAATCGCGATTGCATAAAATGTTTTGGAGGTATAAAAGTAAACTTTAAACTCTATAAGCCCCTCTTACTTCTCCCAAAACAAGAGATATACATGTGATTTAATACATGTATAAATCCGAATCGGTTAAAATTTAAAGTCAAGCATATATCTCATTTTCTTGTTATGCAAGTCTTTAACGATTAGGTCATCTTGTAAAGCTATATAAAGGTCTTTCATTCAGAGAAGAAAAAACCTTTCATTCACCCTAAGATACTCATTTAACTCTGTTTTGACTTTTGCGTCGACTTTATGATTTTGTCTTCTTAACGATGTAGTTATCATGGATGAATAACAATTAACAATACTGGTTTTACATATTCTTTCTCTGAATTGGTATACGTTAATTATTTAAAATAAATCAACAAAGAAAAACTCATTCATTTCTACTATATATAATCTTGATCTCCTCTGTTTTGTTTAACAATCATAATTACAAAAGGAACAAAATGGCAAGAATCATACTTACAATTACTACTACTCTGTTTTACTTGTTCTTCTTTTCTTTGTTATCTCACCAAACCATGTCCCAACCTCAACATATGCACACTGTATGCAATCCTTCCGACAACTTCACACAAACCAGTTCTTACGAATCAAACCGCGCAACCCTATTCTCCACTCTCCGCGTATCTTCCTCTTCCGGAACTTATTATTCCGATGCGACGATTGGTCTTAGCCCCGACACGGTCTATGGCATGTTCCTATGCAGAGGAGACATCAACACATCATCTTGCTCAGACTGTGTCCAAGCCGCAACAATCCAGATCGCTACAAACTGTACTCTTAACAAAAGAGCGGTCATATACTACCAAGAGTGTATGGTTCGATACTCCAACGTCTCCTTCTTCTCTGAATTAGAAGTCAGACCAAGCATCGTTCTTTACTCTCTTCGTTCTGCTCCAAACTCAAACCGGTTTAACCAAACACTATCCGATAAATTCGACCAACTGATTCGCAACGTATCTCCATCCTCTTTGATTCCGTATTTAGTAGAGGATCAAGAACGTGTGACTCAGTCAGAAGGTTCATATGATTTAGTGTCAATGATTCAGTGTAGTCCTGATCTTGATCTATCAAACTGTACCGTTTGCCTCCTGTTTGCGTTCTCAAGAGTTTCAACTTGTTGCGGCTTACCAAGTGCTGCTCTCATCTTTACTCCTAAATGTCTTTTGAGGTATAGAACCTTTGTGTTGCCATCACCACCGCCAACTCCGTCGCTGTTGCCTCCTTTATCTCCATCGTCTCCGCCTCCTCTACCTCTGCCGCCTCAATCACCACCACCATCTCCTACGCAACCGCCGCCACCACTGAACACTTGAATTTTCTACAAAAACGCTATTTGGGAGATTGCTTTTACAATGGCAGTTTTTTAGGTGTTTGCACTTGTGTAGATTTGTGATCATAAATAATGATGTCTAATTAAAAAATTTGCATTTAATATTGTGTGACATGTATAATAAAACTTATATATCTTGCCTTTAGCTTCATCATATTTATTTAATGAAACTGCAACTATATTCAAAGTTCTTCTACAAGAACATGGACTTCAAGTTCAAATTAAATAATACTAATTAATATATAAAGATTCAACCTCTGAAGTCTGAACTAGTCTACCACGTTATATATGTGGTCATCACGGATTTGAATGAGTTTAAAATTAAAATAAAAAGGTATATTTTCTTGGAATAATTGTGAGTTTAGTACATTTTTGAAACTTAATTAGCAAAATAGTACAATCACTATTTATAATTGGCAAATTAGTCAGCTTTTACTATTCTCACTATTTGGAAGACATTAGAACCCCTTCAACTTTCTCATATTTACACAAATGCCATTAAACACATATTTTTCATTTATTTCTTTTTTCTTTTTAATTACATTCTCCCTTCAATCTAAAAACTAAAATACTAGTCAATGAATTTTTTTTTTTTTACAAGTTTCAAATATATAAAAATCTATGTTTTTTTCTCTATTATATGATATGCATTTTGTTTGAAGATTTTATTTGATAATAACAAATAATTTTCATTAATTTTAGATATGTACAATTTACTAAGTGTACAGATCTAATCCGTACAACTTAAAACGTGTACATATGTACATCTGTACAACTTAATAAGTGTACAAATATTAGTATACAAGTCGTAAACGATTGTACACGTATTTGTACAATAGGATATATGTACAAATACAATTGTACAGATCAAACTGTATATTTATTATATGTACAGAAAAATGTATGTATAAAAACTATATACAATGATATATGTATAGATATAATTGTATGTATATTGACTATTATATTGTATTATACATGTATTTGTACAATATGATATATATGTACAAATACAATTGTACAGATCAAACTGTACACAAATTATATGTACAAATGAATTGTACGTATGCCTTTTGTACATCTACCCTTTTGTAATTTACCACCACTACACTATACCCCACTTTCTCATCTATCTCACACATTCTCTATCTCACATAGTGGACCCATTTTCTATTTATCCAATTTTGAATAGTAAATGTACTATATAACAAATTAAGTTTTGAAAATGTACTATAATGCTAATTTTCCCTATTTTCTTTATATAATCCTATGTACTCTGTTTTGTTCTTTCTCATAAAGTCATAGAAAAAAAAATGACAAGAATCATTAAACACTTTGTTGTTTCTCTGTTTTGCTTCTTCTTATTCTTTCTTGGAGCCATGTCTCAGCCTTCTCAAAATCTAACCGATTGCAACAAAGAACTCGACGCTTATCAAACGAACCGCAACACCGTCCTCTCCACTCTTCGCAACCGTTCCTCCCTCGGAAGCTATTATGCCAACGCCACGGCCGGTCTTAGACCAAACACAGTCTATGGCATGTCCCTATGCATAGGGAACATAAGCAGAACATCTTGTTCAGACTGTGTCCACTCCGCTACGTTGGGAATTGGTGACACCTGCGAAACTCATGACAGTGCTTTCATGTTCTCTGGCGACTGTATGGTTCGTTACTCGGACGTTTCGTTCTTCTCGCTCGTAGAGGAATCACCTAACTCCGCTAGTTACTCTTCGATCAACTCTTCTGATTATCCGAAATTTTTCAACAAAACACTTCCTGGAAAAATAAACGAGCTTGTCCTCAGAGTATCCTCGTCTTCTTCGTCACATGTTCCATATTTTGTGGAAGATCAACAACATGTAACTCAATTGGAGGGTTCGTATGATTTAGAGGCAATGGCTCAGTGTAGTCCTGATCTTGATCCAAGAAACTGCACCGTGTGCTTGGGACTTGTAGTCCAAAAATTCTCAGAGTGTTGCAGCCATTCTCGTTGGGCTCGTATCTTATTTCCTAAATGTCTCCTCACGTATAACATCTCTGCTTTGCAACCGAACGTAACGAGTCATGGCGTTAGAAAAGGTAGAGTCACAGTACATATCATTTAATTTTATCATCTACTATGGTTATGTGATATGGCTTTGAATTGATTTTTTTTTGGCTCTATCTTAATTTATTTTGTTTTGGTTTTACAGGAGATGATATATTTGGGAGAACGTTTATTGCAATCATGATAGCTTTACTAATGATTTTATGACCAAATCTAGTGATGTAATTAAGGTTTGTAACTACTGATTTGTATTTGTGTTTCTCTCCGTTTTGGTGATGATAAGATCATAATTAACCAGAATAAACCAACATTGACTTGGTTAAAGATTGAATAAAGATATGGCATCATGTGTTCTCCTAAATTAGTGGGATTGCCCTCCAACTCATTCACATTCCATTAATTGCAGATTTGCCATCATGACAGCTTCTATGTTAACAGGATGTTTTAATATTAAGGGTTTAGAGCATCAAAAATATATAATGTATATATGTTAATTAGTTTTCTTAATTAATAACTTTTACATAAAAATATCATGACCAGATATTTGTTTTACGAGGATGGTAATATAGAAGGGGTGAACTAAATTATGATATTTTGTAGAGATGCCTAAATAAAGTGTATTTTAGCTATTAATTAGGTCTTGAACAAAGAGATGTAGAGATATATTTCATATTAATTTTGTAGAGATGTCTAAATATTTTTGGCTTCTTTGATATTGTATTGCAGGAAGGAAAATACTTGGGAGAATTTTAATTACGGCCATGACAACTTCGGCTTTAGCACTAGTCGGTCTATGATATCGAATTTTAAAACGTATGGTATAAGTTCTTATAATTTAATGCAAGTAATTACATTTATAATCACTTGTAAATGGTATGTATTCAACATTATGAAAACATAAACGCCGATTTTCAGATTGTTATTATCTTAAACATTAGTCACTTTCTTACGGCTGGATTACATAGTTTTATGATATTTACTCCAAAAAGATTATAGACTTTCGACCTTAACCACGATTAATTAAAAGATAATAATCTACGAACAAGTCTTGTTTATCTTAGCTTTTCACAAGCAAAATTATCAACTTTATCTTTTACCTTACGTAAGACTTCATCTTATTAAACGGGCTTGTAAAGATAATCATCGTTTTCTATACAATCTAAGGATTAACTCAACTAAAATAATAATTATGTATTCATGGATTCAACCTTTGAATTGGTCAACAAACTACAAACGTTATATGTGGACATATGATATATATATTTTTAATAACAAAGAGAGACAATTCTTTTCTTTATATAACTCTATGTATGTGCTCTGTTTTGTTCTTTCTTGCAAGTCATAAATAATCAAGAAAGATACCAAAAAAATGACGAGACTCAATACACATTTTGTTGCTGCTTCGTTTTGCTTCTTCTTATTCTCTCTTCGAGCCATGTCCCAACCTACTCAAATGCGTATTGATTGCACCGAGTTCAACAACGTCACTCGAACTAGTCCTTATCTTTCTAATCGCGACACGGTCCTCTCCACTCTTCGCAACCGTTCCTCCATCGGAGGCTATTCCAACGCCACGGCCGGTGTTGGCGGCCCAAACACGATATATGGCATGTTCCTTTGCAGAGGAGACCTAAACAGAACATCTTGTTCAGAGTGTGTCAATGCCACAGTGTTGGAAATCTACGAATCCTGCTTTTATCGTAAAACAGCTTTGATAATCTCTAACGAGTGTATAGTTCGGTACTCGAACACTTCTTTCTTCACGCTCGTAGAGGATGTACCTAGTACCGCTAGATACTCTCCGAACAAGTCTTTGGGATCTCCGCAATTTTTCAATCGAACACTTCCTGAAAAACTAGAGAAACTTATCCTAAAAGCATCCTTGTCTTCAACGTTACCAGTTCCATATTTTGTTGAGGATCAAGAACGTGTGACTCAATTGGAAGGTTCGTATGATTTACATGCAATGGTCCAGTGTAGTCCTGATCTTGATCCAAGAAACTGCACCGTCTGCTTGAACCTTGCTGTCCAAAGACTCTCGAAGTGTTGCAGCCATGCAGAGTTTGCTCGGATCTTCTTTACTAAATGTCTCATCTCGTATGAAATCTCCGCTTTGCAACCGAACGTGACGAGTCTTGGCGTTACAGAAGGTAAGTTATCTGAAAAATACCAAAAAGAATGATGAAATTAGTAGTACATGGACCGTTACCAATTGGTATGGTCCATCCTTGACCGGATTAAACCAGGTTGAACTGAAGATTAATTAGTCGACTCGACCGTAATATCATCTGCCTTTACAATCCAGTTATCAAAGAATAAACAACTAAAACATATGTTTTGGCTCTTTATTTTTTGTTTTAACAGGAAATGAAATAGTTGGAAGCACGTTTATTGCAATCATGACAGCTTTGGCGTTACCACTAATGGTTTTATGATCAAATGTAGTGATGATCTAAGGATAGTGTGAGTATATTTGGGTGACGTACGTACCCATATATTGTGTTGTGTTGTTGTTCTCGTCTACGTAGATTTAAAAACCACCAAAAAAATAAAAGAATATAAATATTTGTATATATATTTTGTTAGGTTTCAACTTTCAGTGTTATCTTGTTGGTAATAATATGTATTGGTATCAAGATAAATAAAGTATGCACATGTGGTTTGATTTCGAATTTCAGACTATGCATAAATTTGTTTTTAAATAATTGAAAAACTAGTTTCGGACTTGATTTCACGTTGAGACTTTGTAACTATTGATCGGACCAAGATATCTAAAACATATCTTGTTTTCTATGTAGTCTCCAACTGTTCCTAATAATTTTCGCTGTTTCAAAACATGCCTTCCAAATTGTTAGACTGATCAGAGTCTTCTTAATCCAATACAAGAATTAAAAAAAAAAAAGAAAAAGAAAGTCTACCTAATCAAGTCTTATGTTTTGCTTCAGACAATAATATAACAAACGTGTTAGCTTCAATAATTCTCTTTATTATTCCTTAAACAAGTCTTTCATCTGGTTTTAAATTACAGAACCAATCAAGTTTATCATTTTATACAACAACATGGCCTCAACTATCACCTAAGAGTCTAGAGAGTAATAAAAGAATTTTCAGAGTCAAAGAGTATACATATAATCCATCTTTTTATAAATCTGTCTACTAAAATTTTTCTTCATCATTCTTTCACAATTCATAAACATAAGAAAAGAACAAACAATGGCAACAATGATCCAAAGTTTCTCTTCTCTCTTTTGCTTTCTCTCTCTTTTATCTCTTCTCTTCTCTACAAGCCAAACCATGTCCCAAGCTGACCTCATCCACATGAGCACCTTCTGCAACCAATTCTCTGACAATTTCACACAAGCCAGCGCATACGAGGCCAACCGCGATATCGTACTCACCTCTCTTCGTCTCCGTTCCTCTCTCGGGTCCTATTCCAATGCCACGACAGGTATTACTCCCGACATAGTCCGTGGTATGTTCCTCTGTAGAGGAGACATCTCGTTGTCATCTTGTTCAGACTGTGTTCAAACCGCAACCCTAGAAATCTCAAGAAACTGCACCCATCAAAAAGAAGCTTTCATATTTTATGAAGAGTGTATGGTACGTTACTCAGATTCCTCCTTCTTCTCCCTCGTAGACGAGAGACCTTACATCATTAGGTACTCATTGAGTTATGCTCCTAACTTGGACCGGTTCCCACAAACACTCTCCGATAAAATGGATGAGCTTATCATCAATGCAACTTCTTCCCCATCATTATCATCAACACCGTATTTCGTGGAGAGTGAAGAACGTGTGAAACAATTCGAGGGTTCGTTTGATTTGGATTCACTTGCTCAGTGCAGTCCTGATCTTGATCCAAGAAACTGCACAACATGTCTGAAACTTGCGGTCAAAGAAATGTTGGAATGTTGCAACCAGTCTCGTTGGGCACAGATCTTTACCCCTAAATGTCTCTTGAGGTACGAAGCAACCGCTTTGTCGTCACCACCTCCACCATCTCCATCACCTCCACCACCTTCTCCTTTATTTTCTCCTCCATCGCTACTGCCTACTACTCCATCCCTAGTACCCTCTCCGCCCTTTTTCATGCGGCCGAGTTTTGGCGGGTCATTTTCTATTAACGCTATAAATGGTAAGAATATATAATCTTCTAAATTTATATGCATGTAACCATTTTGTTGTACAAATCTAGTTATCAAGAAGAGACTTATTATATAGACTATTACTAATCAGTTTGTCATTTTTTCTTCTTGTCTTGCAGGAAACGAAATATTTGGGAGGATTTTTATTGCGGTCATGACAGCTTATGTTTTAACACTTTTTGGTGTAGGAATGTAAAGATGATGACCTTATGCTTGTTGTGTGAAGTGTGATTTGTTTTATTCATTCCATATGTCTCATAAGGTCCAATTACCCTCTAAAGTTTTGTATTCGTTTAATTTGTGTTTCGGTATGTTTTTTTGTTGATTCTGAAATTTGATTTGAATGAATTTTTCAAAAAACAAATTAAATTGTATGGATTGACAGAAATAAAAAGAAATTGGAGTTTTACCAAATATACTATCCCTTTTTTTCTTTTCTTTTCCCTAATTTTTTGTTGTTATAGATTTTTTGGTCTAATATGTACATGTTTTCTCAAAATCATGAGATTGATCCAAGAATTATAAATATTTAGACTATAAAAATACTTAGCACTAGGTTGAGATTTCATAAAATCGAACTCATAAAGAGAGGCAGAGCTTCTTCTTCCACACCAAACACAAATCACACTAAATTATATATTTTTGTCAGTTGTTTCATATCCTAGTTTAAATATTAAAGTAGATAACATTATAGATATATAACTCAACAATCACTTATAAATAATTGAAACATTTGTCTAGTCAAGATTATAATGCATCTTTAATAGATCTCTCTGCTATAAATTTTCTTCTCGTTTTCTCTCAAATAATTCATAAACAAGAAAGAAAGAAGCAATGGCAACAATGATCAAAAGTCTCTCTTCTATCTTTTGCTTTCTTTCTCTTTTATCTCTTCTCTTCTCTACAAGCCAAACGGCCATATCCCAACCTGACCACATGCGCACCTTCTGCCGCCAATCTTCTGACAACTTCACGCGAACCAGCTCTTACCGGACAAACCGTGAAACACTTCTCTCCTCTCTCCGTGAACGTTCCTCTCTAGGAACCTATGCAAACGCCACAACAGGTCTTAGCCCCAACACAGTCCGTAGCATGTTTCTCTGTAGAGGAGACATCACGAGAAAATCTTGTTCCGACTGTGTTCAAACCGCAACCCTAGAAATATCAAGAAACTGCACTTTTCAAAAAGAAGCTTTCATATTCTATGAAGAGTGTATGGTACGTTACTCGGATTCTTCCTTCTTTACCCTAGTAGAAGACAGACCTTTTATCACCAGATACTCTCCGAGCTCTGCTCCTAATACTGATCGGTTCGGAAAAACTCTGTCCGATAAAATGGATGAGCTTATCACCAGAGCGTCTTCTTCATCATCATCGTCATCATCAACACCATATTTCGTCGAGGATCAAGAACGTGTGACACAATTCGAGGGTTCGTACGATTTAGTTTCAATTGTTCAGTGTAGTCCCGATCTTGATTCAAGAAACTGCACCGTGTGTCTGAAACTTGCGGTTCAAAAAATTTTGGACTGTTGCAGCCGGTCTCTTTTGGCTCAAATCTTTACTCCTAAATGTCTCTTACGGTATGAAGCTTCCGCTTTGTCATCCCCGCCTCCACCATCTCCGCCACCTCCACCACGTTCTCCCCCAGTTCTACGGCCATCTCCGCCTCGTTTCAGGCGGCCACAAAACGGACCGAGTTTTAGCGGGTCATTTTCTATTAACGTTATAAAAGGTAACCATTTTGTTGTAAAAATCTAATTATCAAGAAGGGAATATATAAGAGTAAATTATTAATCAGTTTGACCTTTTTCTCGTCTTGTAGGAAACGAAATATGTGGGAGAATTATAGTTGCGGTCATGACGGCTTATGTGTTAGCACTTTCGGCTGTATGAATGTAAAGATTTCTTTCTAGTACTGGTTACGTGAAGTTTGAAGTGTAATGTGTTAATGTTCTTGTCTATTAAGATCCAAGCCCCCTAAACTTATGTTATTATCTGTGTTTCAGTATGTCTTCTTTGTTTTTGTCCTAATAGTTTTCCCAATCTTGAGATTGTTTCCAAGAAATTGCGTTTTAACTTTACTACATTCATAATCTTCAAGGTGTTGCGTTTTATATGAATTAAAAAAAACAAAAAAAAAACTCTTGAGTATGTCAGTTTTCATTTGTATTTTACTATTTATTTATTTAAACGGTTTGTGCCAATCAAAATATCTAGGAAATTATGCATGCATGTCATTATAATATATGAGTCTTGTTTTCATAATCCAATTAAAATATCTACGAATTGCAGTAGTCAACTTTCAGAATCATAATACAAAATGAATATTTTCGAGCGAAGGGTCATCTAGTACATCATTCAGAAAATTACAATAGTATTAGTCGTTTTCTCAATTCTTTCCAAATAATTATTATATTTACTAATTAAATCCTAATTTTCTAAAATGTATATTTTAAAATTTAAAGTAACTAACTATATTTTCAAGTCAACACTAAACTTGACAAAGACAAGTTTTATTCCATATCTTGTGTCCGTTCATCAGGCCGTACGTACATCAGACCGTACATATCTTTATGTAAAGCCTTTGTCTACGAGTTGTGAATCTGAAGAAGTCAATCAAAGCAAAAACTTGTGATCTAATTCCAAGTTTCCAGCAGCCAATACTGTCTTCTCATCAAATTAAGTTCGATCAATTTTACAATAAAAATTACATAAGTGAAATCTCAGTTCTTTGGGGTAAAAAGGCCCCCGGGTTTATTCACCATAGTATTCAAATAATTTCACCTGGAGGCAGCTCTGCAAGTTTCGCTTGAGTACCAAGCACACGTTCCATATCAAACCGAACCTCGATATTCCGAATGCTATATCCCACCACCATTAACCAATACAACAATTTTGCTAGGTCTGCTGCGCTTGTCTCTGTCACATTCGTCTGCGTAACCACCAAAATATGGACATCAGCCAATTCACAATCACATTCTATATACACAACATAATTGACATAACTCAAACAAGTTTCAACTGAAGAAGTTAACATCAGAGAACCTTCATTTGGTTTGGGTCTGAAACAGCCAGAAGTCGCTTGACAAATGTATTCATGGCCACAGCAACATCTTCACCTGCTGTGCTTGTAAGCTCCTACAAATTCCAAAGTATTGCAACTGAGAAAAGTTGGATAAAAACTAAATGAAGGTAAACTAAAAATTAATATATGAATATGAATTTTCATGCCTTAAGATTTTGGGGTTCGAGAGATTTTAGATACTCCAAAATCTCGTTCTGCTGATTCGCAGATTTTCTCCCCACTAGACGGTTGAGTTCTTCAATCTCTGCTTCCAGAAGTTCGATATATTTTTTCGCTTCAATTTTCTCAGGACCAGATATGTTATTCCACCTGATCACTTCCCCTGAAACGTTCTTTTGTGTTCCAGGTGCATAGTCTTCATCAGCTCCCTGGCTTAATCAGAATAAAAAAACCAGTGTCACATACAATTTGATAAACCAAACTTAACACACGCATATTAAACAGTTTTTTTCTAGTCACCAAAGAACTACAGCATCACACGAGAAATCTCTAACTCTCAACGACTGCCCGAGCCAATATCCGAGACCAAATCAGAATAACCAAATCATACTGCCTTAACTTAATATGAACATGTTAGCTCTCTAGTTAACTGACTCAACAATAGTAGTTGAGCTGTTAACGCAGCTATAACCCACCACAAGTTACATGGGAGAATTATAATGCTTCTACACTAGCTCATAACACAAAGCTAATCAGAGAGAAACAGAGAAGAAGCTGAAGAGTCAAGATTGAAGCAACAAGTAAATAAACTCTCATCAGTATCTAACATAATTACAGGGCATGTTAAATTCTCCAGAAAACAGCAGTTATAGACCTTAAACACGTTCACCTTTTGATCACGTGGTTCAGGAAGAGCAACCTGCTCCAAACTTTGTTGCAGTTCAAGACGATATTGAGCGTTTCTGAACATATACCCAGTCATCAACACACTCATCATCAGCTGTGCAAGGTTCTCGGCAACCTAAACCCATAATACGCAAATTCATCACACAAACAAAACCAAAGTAACAAACACAGGACACAACTTGTGAAAACGTATCACTTCGATATTTCCATTACATTAAAGCAGCACTCACAGAGGTGACAGTAACCGCAAAAAACTGCGGAGGCAGCGTTCCTATCATATTCGTCACAGTTTGTCTCATTGCATCAACCACCTAATTCCAAATTACCAAGGATTCAACATAGAATCAATTAAAAGCTCTAATTTTTTTTTTTTAAATGGGTCTTTTGAGAGAATGAAGCAGAGAAGTTACAGGTTTAGGGGCACGTTTAACAAACATCTCCATGAACTCAGGCTTCACATTCTGAACATACTCCAGTAATATATCCCTCCTGCTTTTAGGCTGCTGCTCAAAACCATTGATCGATTAAGATTAGTGTTCAACATCAATCGAACACTGAACCAATTGCAATTTCAAGTTCAATTTACCCGAGTGCCATTAGGAGGCGTGGAGGAATCTGCAGACGAATCAGAGGAGGAACCATAAGCTTTAACTCTCAGAACCATCAAACCCCCACTTCCGCTGCTACTCTTCGTCATCTTCAACGGGAAGCTCACAGAGGAAGAAGTAGAGAGTTTAGGTTCATGGTTGGATAAAAAAGACGAAGAAGAAGGACGAAACCGTGATTGCAAAATCGAGAATTGCATCGATAACGAACACATCTTCAACCCTAAAATTCAAGCTTTTCTCGCTAGCTTTGGGGTTTATCTTCGATTTGGTTCGCGACTGTGACTTTTTTTTCTGCACGCTCGTAATTATTTATCTTTCTTATCTTCCAAAATTAGACGAACCGGTTTGATTTTAATTTTATGATTCATTTTAAATTTACCGGTTTTCTGGGCTTCACTCACTTGTCAACTTAGAACTTAGAAAAATCGAGAAGAAACCAAAAAAAATAAACAACAGAAGATGCTGGTGGCTAGGGTTTGGAGATTGGAATCTGCTATTGCTTCTTCTAGATTGATCAGCAAGAGATTGATCCATCTTCGTTCGTCCAAGACACGTACGATTTGGAAGAGTCTACCTAGTTCATTGAGCGAAGTAACTTTTGTAGGAGAGAAGTTGAAATTGAGAAGTGGGTTTCATTATATCAAAACCTTAGATGATGCCATTGCTCTGTTCAATGAAATGGTTTGGTCTCGTCCCCTCCCATCTGTTATTGATTTCTGTAAAGTAATGGGTGTCATCGTGAGAATGAAACGACCTGATGTTGTGATTTCTCTCTACCAGAAGATGGAGTTGCAACGGACTCCATTTAGTATCTACAGCTTCAATATTGTCATGAAATGTTTCTGCAGCTGTCATAAGTTGTCCTTTGCTTTGTCTACACTGGGAAAGATCATAAAACTTGGTTTTCAGCCCACCATTGTTACTTTCAGCACGCTTCTCCATGGGTTCTGTCTCGAAGATAGGATCTCTGAAGCCGTTGCTTTATCTGATCGTATGGCTGAAACGGGATGTACACCAAATGTTGTGACGTTCACCACACTGATGAACGGTCTTTGCCGTGAGGGTCGGGTTCTTGAAGCGCTAGCTCTGCTTGATCGAATGGTTAAAAATGGTCATGGACCTAACGTTGTTACTTACAGAACAATTGTAAATGGAATGTGTAAGATGGGAGACACTGACTCGGCCTTGAATCTGCTTAGGAAGATGGATGAAAGCCACATCAAAGCTGATCTTGTAATATATAATCCCATCATTGATCGTCTTTGCAAGGAAGGGAAACACAGCGATGCTCAGAATCTTTTCACTGAAATGCGTGAGAAAGGTATTTTCCCCAGTGTAGTTACCTACAACTGTATGATAGATGCTTCTTGTAGTTCTGGTAGATGGAGTGATGCTGAAAGATTGTTGCGTGATATGATTGAAAGGCAAATCAGTCCTGATATTTTCACTTTCAATGCATTGATCAATGCATCGGTCAAAGAAGGGAAGTTCACTGAGGCTGAAGAATTATACGCAGATATGCTCAGCAGGGGTATAGTTCCTAATACAGTCACCTATAACTCAATGGTAGATGGATTCTGTAAACACAACCGTCTAGATGACGCCAATCGTATGTTTGATTTGATGGCTAGCAAGGGATGTTCTCCAAACGTAGTTACTTTCAATACTCTCATACACGGATGTTGTATGGCGAAGATGGTAGATGATGGAATGAAACTTCTCCGTGAAATGTCGAGAAGAGGATTAGTTGCTGATACAATTTCTTACAACACTCTAATTCACGGGCTCTGTCAAGTGGGCAAACTTAATGCTGCACAAGACCTTTTCCGGGAGATGACTTCTCAGGGTGTGTACCCTGATACCATAACTTGTAACATTTTGTTGTATGGTTTCTGCGAAAATGGGAAACTAGAAGATGCATTGGAAATGTTTGAGGTTATCCAAAAGAGTAAGATAGATCTTGATACTGCTACTTATAACATCATCATCCATGGAATGTGCAAGGGTAACAAGGTGGACGAAGCATGGGACTTATTTTGTAGTCTCCCCATCGATGGTGTGGAGCCTGATGTTCAAACTTACAATATAATGATATCTGGATTCTGTGGAAAAAGTGCAATGTCAGAAGCAAATGCATTATTCAGTAAAATGAAGGACAATGGACATGAACCAGATGACTGCACATATAATACTCTAATTAGGGGATGCCTTAGAGCTGGTGAAATAGCTGCATCAGGTGAACTTGTGAAGGAGATGCGAAGCAAGGGGTTCAATGGAGATGCATACCGTGAAAATGGTGCTGATATGATAAGATGGCAGATTGGATAAGAGCTTTTTTTTGATATGATGTCGTTGTCTTAGTGTTTCTTGGGAAGAGTGACTCTCCTACTCACTTGTGCATTGCTGCTAGTGTTCTTTTCGTATGATTCAATGTTAAATGTAACATGTGAGATGATTTTGCAGAAGTTTTTGGTTCTGTGATTTGTCTACAGATTAATCCTAATCATCACTTTAATTAATAAATTCCGAGCAATTTCCCTTTAATTTCCACATATCGATACATCATAATCATATAGGAAACCTCGTATGTTTCGTTGACAGGATTAAGTAAACACTAAGTCCAATGAAGAAAACTTAATTTATGTGTTCGTTTGGATTAGGCTAACAAAGAAGAACGAAAGGACATTATCCATCATATGCGTATAAAAGCAATTCTTGAGGTTATAATCCTTTGAAACAATTAACTTTCAAACTTTGATTTAAAACTCATTGAGGCATTTCATCGAACAACATAAACGCAAGAAGACCTAATCAAACTCTAGGAACACGAAATTAGAGAAAACAAAAGATATACATAAGATAAGACATATAGCAGAAAACGATTCGATCACAGATCTAGTCTCTTCTTCTTCAAGCTCTCTCGCCTCTGATTCTCCTCGCCAGCTGAATATCCTTAGGCATGATGGTGACTCTCTTAGCGTGAATCGCACAGAGATTGGTGTCTTCAAACAAACCAACGAGGTAAGCCTCCGCCGCTTCCTGGAGAGCTGCGACGGCGCTGCTCTGGAAACGCAGATCCGTTTTGAAATCCTGAGCGATCTCACGGACCAAACGCTGGAACGGAAGCTTGCGGATCAGAAGTTCAGTGCTCTTCTGATACTTCCTGATCTCTCTTAGCGCAACGGTTCCGGGACGGAATCTGTGTGGCTTCTTCACTCCTCCGGTCGCCGGAGCTGATTTCCTCGCCGCTTTTGTCGCCAGTTGCTTCCTTGGGGCTTTTCCTCCGGTGGATTTCCTTGCCGTCTGCTTGGTACGAGCCATTTCTTTTGAGTAAATTCGAAACGAAGAGAAAGTTTTGAAAATTTGCTTTAAGGATTCGAGAGAGAGATTTGATTGAGAAGACGATGAGAAGAACGTAGAGACTGGTTTGGCTTTTATAGTGAAGGAATCATTTGTTTTCGTTCGTTAGATCTTTTGTTTTTTCAACGGTTGTGATTGATTGAAGTTTAGTGATCCGCGTCATATCTAAAACAACCAATCAGATTACCCCGCCCAACCTTCTCACTTTTTTAGTTTTTTTAGTTTAGGCGCGTCTTTTGAATTTTTTGCTAAAATTTGGAACCTAAACAAATAAAAGAGGACCTCTGTTAATAAATAAAAAGCCCACGTTGTAGTCTGGGTTTAGGGCCCGTTAAGCTATCGGCAGTCCACAAAGGACTTCAGTTTCACTTTTATTTACCTTTATGTTGCCTTTAAACTTTGAATATTTGGTGATTTTGAGACTAAATACTTATGGATTGGTACATTAGACAATATTAATTGAGAAGTAATGTCATTGATGCACATTAATAAGTAATAACACCACAACGCGTGAAATTGTGTAAAACCACGCTTTAAAGCTATTAAATTGTTTATTTGTGTACCATTTTAAAGCTATTTATCAAACTTATTAGTAGTTGATACTGTTGTAAAAAGATGTATTGTATTGTTGTACTACACGAGATTTATATCAAATCCAAAAAAAATACAAAAAAGATAGAAAGATGAGTCAATTTCTTGATATGATAAATTTTAATAATATGTGTTACTATCACAAATAAAGTACTTATGATGTGAATATAATTCACTTAATGTAAAAACAAAAAACAAAATCCACGTTTATTTAATTTTCAAAATGGAGATATATGATTTAAAACCAAGATTAGTAGTCAATCTGGATTGCATGTGAAAGAGATGATTATGAAGATAAGAACATTTTTGATGATCTTACCCAACCATTAATTAACCAAAAATACACGTTTTCAAAACATTATAAAAGCAAAAGCCAACATTGCTACAGAAGCTTCAAACACAATTGAATGATAGAATAAACTAGTCAACGACCTAAGACAAAAAGACTAACTATATTTCGAAATGGGCAAACTCACAACCTTGGGTGGCAAACTGAAAGACGAAGCATCGCAAATGAAACTCAACATGGTTCATTTGTGTGGCTCGGAGAATGCCAAAACCATCGACGTAGCTCTCTTAAAAGCCACGTCTCACACCTCACAGAAACCACCTTCGGACAAGTACGTCGCTTTCCTCCAATCCACTGCTGACACGTGTTACGGTCCTGATACCGTCGCTGCCATCTTACAGAGGCTGCGTGTGACAACGGACGTGTGCGTGGCTGCTAAATGTCTCATTCTTCTCCATAAGATGATTAAATCGGAATATGTGTACAATGGAGAAGATAGTCTCGGCCGTGACAGTAATAATAATAGTCACCGTGCTTTGATCTATAATCAAGGAGGGAGTAATCTTAAATTGAATGATCTTAATGTATATTCATCTCGTTTTACTAGAGAGTTGTCTCCTTGGGTTCTTTGGTAAGATTATTATATATTTTTTACGTTACAGTTTTGGCTGAGAGACTTAAAAATAATTGATATGATTAAAATGGTGTTTTGAATAGGTACAAACAATATCTAGATTGTTACTTAATAATTGCGGAGGCGTTAGGCGTTACACCAAACATAAAAGATAGGTCGGAAGATAAGCGTTTAGAAACTCAACGAGTCTCGTCTTACACAACCGATTGCATTTTCAAACAAGTTGATTTCTTAGTGGATCTATTCGAACGTATAAGTGAGAGACCAGAAGCTCCGAAATCGAAACTCAACATGATCGTTGTCCATATGATAGAACTAATGGTACAAGACTACTTCTCCGTCATGAGACTGATGAAGATACGGTTCGAGGAATTGACCGAGAGAGTTGCTAAACCGTACGAGTTGGTTCCGGTTTTGGAGAGGCTTGAACAGTGTAAGGACTGTTTGAGCGAGTTTTCTTGGCGAAGCAAATATTTGGTTGAAGATTTTTGGTGTTTGGTATCGAAATTGAAAGATATGTAACGTTTAGATAAAAAACCAGTCCGGTCCAGTTCAGTTAGTAAGAAAATTTTATGTATTTATTGGCATAGCTTAGTCCGTAATCCTGGTGGTATTCGTCTCTATGGCATTTGTTATTTTACATGACTATAGTCGATTCCATGCATATAAATTTTCAGGAATTGGATTACTATATGTATAATATATGATAAATATATAACAAATTTATAAAGATGATGGTCCATTCAGATACAGAGCAAACCTGCTATGTTGGTGCTTATTGCTTAACATTAGGTGGTTGATCTTAACTCATCTGAGCATTTTCCCGTTAATTCCATATCGATACACTAGAATCATATAGAAAACCTCTATCTGTTACGTGGACAGGATTAAGTTAACACTAAGAAAACTTAGTTTAGGTGTTTGTTGGGATTAGGTTAACAAAGAAGAACAAATGGCAATCATCCATCATATGCTTAGTTACACAATTAGTTATCAAACACCATCAGCTCAAATCTTCGTCTTTCATTCAATCCCTCAGGATGGATGAATCTTGTGTCTTCACCGCCTTCTGTTGAGTGGTTTCGCTGAAGACGAAGTGCTAATTGTTGGTCTTTTAGCACCTGAGGCAAATCAACAAGATATGGCATTAAAGATCCTACGCGAGAGCAAGCATCTACTTCATATGATCTTTCATAGAAATCTAAGCATGCTGTGATTAGAGCCTGATATGAATGTAAGAAGAGGCAGACTGATTTGGTTTCTAGGACACTAGTCAAAGAGTTGATGTATAGAGACATTACCTGTTAAGGCCTTTGAGGAGGAGCTAGTGGTAATTGACAGACGAGAAGGTCTGGTTTGGCCTGGTGGTTTCATGGTCTGCTTCGGAATCTTTGATGGAATATTACTTCTGCTTTTGAAATCCCAAAACAAAACAACTATAAGAATCTGTATATGCATTCAGATTGTTCTATTAATGTGTGCTAGTAGATGATACTAACCTGTCTTTTGGGTCAGCAGCTTTCCCCATTTTTACAGATTTCTCAGGTTTCTCAGAGGTCATTTGTGCTTCAGGTCGTTCGGTTATTTCAAGAGGCTTAGTGGTTTCAGGAAAAAGAGTCAACTCCACTGCACTGCCTATAGATCCATCAGTTTCTGTTCCCATTGAAAGACAGCTGTCAGAGATATCACTCAGTCTTTCCTCAGAATCTGCATCTGCAAGGCCTACGAGTTCAACATCTTCATCATCAAAATCAATTCCTTTTGCCCCACCAGAAAATTTAGATGGTTGGTGAGAATCCTTTCGATGTTCACGTTCATCTGATGAATGCTGTGAACCAGAATCAGAATGCTTGCTACTATATTCTGAGCAGTTGTCAACATCTGAGGTTCCTCTTCCAAATAAACGAGAGGGCTTTCCTCGACGAGAATTTGGTGAAGCTCCAATAGAATGTCGTCTAGGTGATGAAGGTCCCACCAACCTTAAATTGCTTAAACCACGTTTCAGGACTGTCGACTTCTGAAAATTTTGAAGTTCTTCGTCCTTTTTAGCAATTACATCCTTCAAATTCGATACCTGTTATATCAAGCAACAGCAAGATAATACTTTTGTTCTCTTTAACTTTCAGTAGCCAAAATTAAATCTTCAGAGAGACAGAAAAAAAAAGAAAAGAAAATACAAACCTGTTCCATGAGTTGTCTTACATCTCGACCCTCTTTATTACTTTTTGCAGCACCTAACTCCACACCAGAAACCCTTTCCGCGAATTTCAATGTGCTTACGGTCTCAGCATATGAGTCTCCATCAGGATTGACTTGAACAAACATAAGAGTTTTGGCTTGTCCTCCTAAGAAACAAGAGAGAAAAGTTAAGGGAGCCAACCAAAAGACAGTTTTATGCAATAGATATAACCAATATCTCAGTGCAATCTTCAAAGAGTGATAATGGAGTACCCAAGGAACTTTGAAGGACTTGAGTCAATTTGCTGTTTCTGTACGGAACGTGAGGGTTCTTGTGTGCTAAAGCAAAGATGACATCACCAAGGGCTGACAGTGATTTGTTTATATGCTGAGCTTCCTTGAGTCTCTCTCCGGTTGCCTCAGAGCGATCAACCCTTTCACTTCCAGCAAGATCAACTAAATGTAAACTACCCCGCAAAACTGAGTCGGTTTCCACATCGACACCACGTACATGAACTGAAAGAACACTGCAGATAATAGCCAACATTTTTTGTTATATTTAGACAATAACAAAAGGTAGAAAATAAAATTTCAGGGATAAAGTATACAAACCAGTGTGATCTACTGCTTCTTTCATTAAGAGCTGTAGCACCTACGGTTCTATTCATTAGTCCAATATTCATCAGCTCAAGCACATCTTCAGTTGATCTCACACAATGCATGCTTGCATCAGGGACTGCTAGCCCATTTGGTAAGGCGGTATTCCAAATCCCTAATGTATGCAAGTTAAGGAATTTTTGTTTGAACGCAACTACAAAACATTAGTAAAACCTAAGAGCACTAGACCAATACCAATTTCCCTATGGACCAGCAAATGTATCTGCATGAATCTACCTATTCCAAAAAAAGTTTAGTTACAAAATTAGACTAGGGAAGGATATCTTCGATTGGAGCCCCCATCTGAAAGTATGTCACGAACTTGCTCGTTATATATCTCCACCATTTGAACACCAACTTCATACATGACAGTGTTTTGTCTACTCTGAGTTAAGAGAAACAAATCATTCAGAGCTCTATAATTGACACCCCAATCTTCTTTTGAAGTGATGCTTGGCCCACTCTGTGTTAGCAAAAGAGAAATATGTCTGTTAGAAAAACTTAAAATCCTTGGCTAAAGCAAAGTATTAACAAAATTAAGCTTGTCATTTACCATTGTATAAGTTTTACCAGAACCCGTCTGACCATAGGCAAATATGCAAACATTGTAGCCATCTAGAATTGATCGAATTAATGGTCGAGTATCTAGGAAAACCTCCTCTGCAATTATTAAAAAAAAAAACCGATGCAGGAGATAAATAAGTATATTCTATATGGATGCCTCAACCAATTGACCTAGCTAAATGCATAACAGGGAGAGAAATTTTAACCTTGAGTTGCTGCTTGACCGAAAACTTTGTTGAATTTGAATAACCTATGGCTATCTTTCCCTTGCTTAAAGGGATTCGCAACCACCAATTCACCATTCTCACCAGTGTATTCTATAGTTGTTTGTCTATTGTTTTGCCCTGGAAGGAATGGTCTTATCCGACAATAGACTCTAATATTTCCTAGATAACAAAAGAAAGAACAAAAATCATTTCTTGGAACGGTCTTTTACAAACACCGTACATTGACTAAAAGAGTTTTACCTTTCAATTCTTGCACTTCATTGTAGAGTCTTCGATTTTCTTCAAGGACCACATGGTAATTTTTGGCTGCATCAGCCACTCCTTTGAGCTTCAAACCTAGGAGAATTACTATAAATAAGAACCCATGTACTCTGAAATAAAAAATTCATTTAGACCAAGCAATGGTAGAAAATTAGTGACAGCAAAGAATCTTACCGTAGTAATTTAGATCCTCAAAGTATTTCCTCTGTGTTATTAATACTTCATGTTTCATAGACAAGGAAGTAGCATTCAGCTCCTGCAAAAGTTCACAGATTCTATATCATCTAAATAACTACCATCGGTAACCAACGTTAACAAATACTATCTATAAAGTCAACCTGCAATGCTCCAGAATGGTTGTCTATAAATTTTTGATACATGCATTCTTTTTTCTCCCATCTTTGAGATTTAGATTGGCACAACTTCTCAAGTTCTTTCACCTTCCTACTTGAATCTACAACATGTAACTCAGCATCTTTTAACTTCTTCTCCAACTCCTCTCTAGTTTGTTGTGCTTTTGCTTCTAAATCCAAGCATTGGTTTTCATGTGTCTCTTTCACTACTTTGAGTTCCTGCTTCAGCTTGCGAATCTCAGCATCACTGCGCTCTTTTTCCTTTCTCAGTCTCACTACATCTTTTTCTTCTGACCGTTCTCTCTCTTCTATTCTGGTTTTCTCCAGCTACAGAGCACAACCGCAAATACAACCATTATAAATCTGTGTAAGCAAATCTATTACACAAGCCAAATGGAAAATGATGTAAGAAGTCGCAATATTAAGTATGAGGCGCAACACACAATAGTTTTATGATAGGATCTCTCAGACTGAACCTTGATCGAAATTTAGAATTGGTCTAGAGGTTATATTCCACAGGTAATATATACAAAATTATGTGCCTAATATAAATTAACTTTTCCAGATGCAAGAACGAAACTACGAAACTAAAAGCAAAATATGCATGAAGGAGGTGATATATATTATATCAATTACCTTTATATGCTCCATACAGTTCGTAACAATCTACAACAACGAAAAATAGCAATACCAATCAGTATTCAGTATTCGAAAAATAAATAAATTGAAGAGAAATACTGGAACCAGAGAAAATAGTACCTCGTTTTCCTTTGTTGTCCCAGCTGCCAAGGTTTCTAAGACTTTTATTCTCGACCTGTATTTTTCTTCACGTACCCTAAAGAGTATATTTTGCTGCACCAGTTTCATAAGCATATTCCATGACTTGGTCAGACCTCAGAAGGATGATATGTACATCACGGGAAAAATTCAAGTAAGAATTGCCTTAGGTGATCTTACGTTCTTTAGGTTATCAGCTTGATTTGAGATTCTCTGTTCAATCACTTGGACAAGTGCGCTCAAGAGAGATGCCATAGCCTGAACAACACACGAGAAAAAAAGGAAAAGCATGATGGAGTATAAGAGATCTTCAATGAACTAAGGAATGAAAATCTTAGCAAATACAGATAACATGAATCAATAGAAGGGTGTTATGAGAATAGAGAAGCTCAGTCTTTTGCTTACATGAGACACATGCCCATTCATTTTCGTCATGCTCTCATCAAGAAGCTTATCCAGCATGTCAAACAGTGACCTAGTCGGAGCATTCTGCCAAGAAAATGCAATTTGAATCAGAAACAGAGGTAGTAGTTAAAAGGTTGGACACAGTTGACATGTAAGAAAACTTTACTCGTAAACTGTTTGATTTTAGTAATTCGGAAATTTTATCATCAGATATATCAATCTCAGATCCTTCCTTCGACTGGAATCTATCAGTAAAATTGCGCTCATCCCCTCTTGAATCTGAGTGATCCTCTGGCAGGCTCCATCTCCTCCTTGCAGATAGTGAATTCTTATCATAACTACCATCGGAAAAACTTGCTTTAAGCGCCTTGAGGGACTGTAAAACTGGCACCATATCCCCCTGTTTTTTATATTATATTAGGAGTCATAACTCAATAGAGAAACACAAGACAAGGTAGAGAAAGAAAAGATATGGGAGCAGAAATCATGCAATCTTATCATCAAAATAGCAAATCAGACAATAGCGATGATTACAAAAATGTTGCACCCAGAAGTGTCTAAAACGAGGCTAACTTTGACATAAATATCTACAACTAATTGTTTCGATTTATTATAGCAAAAGTGGCAACTCTACAACTACTTTATCTATATGACTACTATATAAATCAACATGTCTTTTCATATTTAAGAAATGTTATTGTTCTCCACAGAAACAAAGAATCATATCAAAGAAAACATAACAAACCTGCTCTATGTCTGAAACTTCGAACCTAGGCAGGGCCATTTCATCCATAGCAGTCAGAAACCGCTCAATTTTTATACTAGCAGGCTCAAAGCTGCCTCCCTATAGAATAACCAAACAGAGTGAGCCTAGTTGCAAAGTAAAGGAAAAAGAACATAACCAGAGGCTTAAAGCAAAAAAAAACGGATATAAAAGCCAAATGGTCATCAAAATTCAAAAGTACCATTCTCATAGACCCAGGACTAAGCTGATTTAAAAGGCTACACAATACAGTTCCATCCCTCAAGCATGCTCTCAGTTCATCCTCTGAAGCTTCCCATGGTAACTTCAAGTAAGGAAGTGTCTCATTTAACCACTCCACCAAACTCTGATGACCTGTGGGTGAGATTAAGATAGACAAAGATTGAGAACAAAAACCATCATCCCATTTCCCTTTACCTAATAATATGAAAGACGATCTTAATGATTCATTTATGCCATAACTCTGTTGGAATATGAAAAAAATAATAAACCCATTCAAGATAATCGTACTCTTTCCAAAGTCCCCAATCACTCTCAAGTTCTTAAAGTTAATTGTTTCAGAAAACATGTTTGCATCTTTCAAAACAAATGAGAGGAATTATCTGAATAAACGTTAGGAAAGAAACAAGTGAGTAGATAACATTACCTCTCTTACTATCATCCATGCTTTCACGACTTTCTGATCCGTTGAAACTCAGAATGCTAGATCCATCTGATCGAACATTGACACCACTCATATTCGGGGTCCTGTTCGAGCCAACTGCTCAGTTGAACTCAGAGATTACGCTACTCCCAGAATTATATAGTAGTGAGAACTGAGAAGACCCTGAACCAGTAAGCCAACAACGAAGTAAGCTGTCAATATAAATTGTCAAACACACAAATACTTCCTAATCCATGGTAACCCTCTCCTATGATTAAAATGCCTATCAAATGCTTTCAATTTCAGATAAGACTAGTTCCCACCAACATTTCAACATATCGCATAGCAAATAGCGACAATGTCGAAGAAATCAACCCATGAACTCAGCTCAAAATATAACAAAAATCACGTAGATCCAGTCAAAAAACCCCAAAAGAAACCATATACGCTTTTTGTAAGACAGATACGAACCTAAAACGCCATGAGGAGAAGAAGACGCTTGTAGATAAACCTCTCTTGAGAGTGTAGACACGACGGGAGAACGGGCGACAGAGTCGAATTATTAAAAAAAGAATTTCACGGCGAGAAATTGGAGGCGGAAGTTTGAATCCCTTTGCCGGAAAAGAAGAAATTTCGAAATTTTTCTCAGTCGCACAATTTTGCTCACTCTTCCCCCTTTTTTCTCTCTATTTTTATTTTATTTTTTTAGAATTCGAGAAAGAAAGAAAAAAAAACAAAAAAAAAATGCTAATTGCGGTTCGATTTCGAACTTCGGAAACAAAAAAAAAAAAGAGGAAATTAAAAAATTGGTATTGATTTTGCTTTACGCTAGACATGGTCTTGGTGGGCCCTACACTCGTTATAGAAATAAAGGTTCCCCCAACTTCCCGCTTTTTCACATCCAAATTGTTTTAAGATTGTTTTCTGGAATTGGATTTTAAGGCCCACTTGAGCCCATTTAAAGGCCCGGCCTAACGAATTTGAGTGTGTCTAATCTTATCTTTTTTTTATCAATATCAACTTTGTTGCGTATAAGTTTTTTATAATCTTAATTATTCATTTTTTATAGAGGAAAAAAATTGTATGCTATAAGTTTTGTTTGCGAAAATTAAGGGAAGAAAACAAATTAATTAGTATAAAGGAGTTCCCAAATATGCTACAAAAATGTATTTTAAGAAAACAAATATTGAGTTGGATTTTAAATAAAGATGATCTAGTTTTGTTTATCATAAGAAGAAAATAGAGATTAATTATTGCTCGAATTTTCGATATATATTGCTCGATTTTTGTATATAATCATGCACATATAATTGAACATCAAACTCCACCATTAAAAGTAAAGATGTGTGGTGTTCATTGGCAAAAATATTAAGTCTGAGTACGAGAGTACGACTAGATCTGTCCAACCTTAACTAGGATCAAACCGACGCCAGTCATTTTGTGATTTTTATCATCAAATAGTTTATGCTTTTTCAGACAGTAACCTAACCTCGATTGTAACGTGACTAATTTTATGAAATTTAGGTTTAACAAGATGTGTGTACGTACGTTCATGAAATTGTTTTAGGATCGAGATCAAGTTGATCAGTCGTCTCATCACAAAACCAGGTCAATATGAAAACGAAAGAATAATATCTTAGTTTGGATCTGTTAGAGGGCTTAGAGTTAAACCAAACCACAACACAAAAGTTGGATTGAACACAAACACGTATACAATGTATGTATAAAGCCATGTGCATATTTTCTATATTTGCCATGTTCATGCGTGGCTCCACTATGATCATCCATAGAACGTGTAAAATAGTGGTCTAGTAAAATAGCAATTTATTATATATATATAAAAACACACTATTTAATGTGATAAAAAAAAAAAAGCAATGTGCTTAATTACACCATATAGATCATAGTGTAGTAGTAGTAGTAGGTCGTAATATTAATCGAATCATCAATTCAGAATATATTTTGGCCATACACGTGTGCAATATAAATTTATCGAAATCCAATTAATTATCAAACAACCATGACTACACATATTTAATGGAAAACAAATTAATAAAATAGTTTGCACACACACACACACATATCTTAGGAAAATACAATTTGCTTACGAATAAGTTGTAGTTTAGTTAGCTAACCAACAGCTTAGAGATTCTTTATCAATGGTAGATTATATATTAGCTAACCACCGGTATATAAAAATGATTGGTTGATGGAACATAGCTAAATTAAAAAACAGAAACTACTGAATAGAATCTAACTTAAACACGTATATATGTGTTATGTGCATTCAAATGCAAATCTATTATTTGTACACATCTACGAAAAAAGCCAATATATAAGACAATGACAAAGATTTTACATGCATTACGTGAAAATGTACTATTTTTCTTTGAATCTGAGTTTTCTTATTAGACTCTCTCGATATAACAAGAAAGCAAAAGCTTGTAGTTAAATTTTTGATATGAATATTTTTTGGTTGGTTTAATAATTTATGAAGGAATACAAATATGTATAAGAATAAGAGAGGAGTGGCTCGCGCTGACAAAGTTATTAATGCTAAATTAAATAAACTGGACCCTCAAAAAATGGACTGTTCGATCGCTCTTTTTTCTATCAACAGTGTACTCTGTTCCATGCCATTAATGCGAGCATCTCTTTCCATTTTTCTATTTATATTTGTGTTCACATATTTTTAAAAATTTTCATTTCTATTGTGTAACAAAATTTATTTTTAAAAATTATTTCATATTTTAAACTAGCTAATATGTGTAGCAAAAGAAGTGTGTTATATGTTAGTTGTCTTTTCTTCCTTTTGAGTTTGTAGAATTAGTACAATTTTTGTAGTCAAATTCTATATACTACACAAAAGTCAAAGTGATCCTTTTTGAGCGAAGACTATATAAGCTACAGAATCTAATGTTTGCGTGTGTTCACGATAACCACAGTGTACAAATCAAAACTAGATGACAAATTTTTTTGGAAAAGTATAAAAAGCTTATTAACCAAACAAATAAATTTACAAAGAATATTTAACTATTTAGGAAATTACTGAAATCACAGACTTTGATTTGATATAAAGTTTTGAAAACAATCGAGGAACACCGTTAATTAAAAATATAAATAATGCATGTTTATCTTTAATTATAAAACGCATAGCTAATGTTTTAGTGCATCATAATCATACAATAAATACATGAAATAATTAAACAATGTCTTACTACTTTCTTTTTCAACGTAAAGACACGACAAGTAGTCCTAGTTAGGGGTGACCATTTTTTGGGAGATGCGAAGATAATTTTTTATTGAAAGCATGCACATCGTCGCTTATGATAATAATGACTCTTGGTTTCTTCTTTATTAATCATCATCTCATTTAATTACTGTATCATTTTTTTGTTGTTTTCGTGATTTTGATCAACATAGCTGAACACGTACAACGTGATTATAATTAATCCCTACTATTAGAGAAGTCAAAAGGAGAATAAAAATACGATAATAAACCCCTTACATTATCTTTAGATCCAAACTTCAGTCGTTCTCGAGGATAACCTTATTGTTTGAGTACCTTACCAAAAAAATTACTTATTGTCTGACTCCGTATATAACTTACGAGATTGTGCGATTAAATTGAAGGTGGACGATTAATTAGCAATTATATACTATACAATATGTTCGATATAGAGGAAGTTACTTTGGAATTATATACCATCGATGGTAATTCCAAAATGTTCGATACTATACAATTAATTAGCAATTATATACCATCGATGGTAATTCCAAAGATTCGAAAACAATGTAGAATAGTATATTCAAAAAACATGTATATCAATTTTTAGTTAATCCATGCAGAGTATTTTTAGTCAATATATATATACCACAAAGATTTTCTGGCTGTATAGGGGAGCTCCTCTCGAAGCATAACATTAATTTCGTGTCCTTCTTCGTGTCTCACCATTACCATTTGCTCTATCCAAAGGGAAAAAGAAAAGATCTTCCAGAATTTTATATATTGTGAGGTAAATATATATAGAGGAAATACAAGTCAAGTAATAACTCAAAGAAAATTACTATAGAGGAAGTTAGTAATTATGAGATAAATGTAACGTAATAATAAATGTTACTTGTGATGGACATTCATTGAATTCATAACATTTCAATAATACACTAAAACATTGAAATTTTTAACCTAAGAAAACGTTAAGCAAAATTGAATGCATGGACATGACCTCGATCGTACATTAAAGATTTGTATAAATTGGCTTCTTTAATCTTATAGATTCATATACTTCATTACTTTGTTTTTGCTTTTTAGATTACATGATATTTCATGACCACGATGAAATATAGCATATCTTGCTTTTTGTTTGTTATTGTATTGTCGTGTGTTGGATTGGGTGACTCGAAAATATGGAGAAAAAACGGTGTACACATAAAAAACTTTCTTCGTGGAGTTCTTGCATTTGTATGTGTATTGAACAAGGAAGATTTAGGCTACCAGTATTTGAATCCTGGAGAAACTTACGATTTTAGTTTCTATGATGGTGTTTTGCCGAGCAAGGCTTATTGTGGATTTTGTAAAGGTGGAGAGCATATGCAGGAAAGTTTTCACCAACACTTTAGGGCATACAAAGGTGGTGGTTTCCTATCTCATCGTGGTGGTAAGCAGAATTTCTGGGACGTTAGAGAAGATGGTTTTTACTTCACTCATGGTCGAGATACTCCTAAACTAGAGTATACATGGCTCCCGTTTTAATTCGTTACCATTTCATGCATACTTATATAATTTGTTCTTTTCATATTGATTTTTGTTGGATAAAAGACTCAACAATGATCATGTTTAATTATCATCGTATGTGATTTATTAATGGGTTTAGGAACGTTTTTGTTAAGAACAAACTCATCTAAACATATATCATAAATTATGATAAACATTTTCACAAAACGATATTGGCTTGTTACTTGTATGGGTGGGAGAAATGGTACTAATTGATATTGTTGAAACAAGATTAAAATTTTCCAAAAAGAGAGTGGTGCTTGGAACACCGTATTCAAAAGGGTTAGTAGATACACACTACTTTTGTTTATTGTTTTTACCACTCATTTAATTTTAAAATTTGTTATTTGTACAATTCCTCGTAAACAATTCAGTGTTCTGTGATAATATACAGTGTACACACAAACACAGACGACACACCTAATAAAGAGATTCGGACACTGTCCTTTTCTCTCTAGACTCAGAAGCTCAATTCAACCACACCAAATAGTAGTAAACTTCAAAAACCACAAAAATCATTTAATCCAATTTCCCATTTTAGAAGGTTAAAAATATATTAAATATTCTTTGGTTTTGTTGTCTTCTTCTTTCTTCCTCAGGAAAAAAAAACCCAAAACCAATGTCATGTAAATTTCACTAACTCCATGACTCATTCATATCCTTAAAACCCCTTCTTCTTCTTTTTTTTCTTTCTTTCTTGTCTTCTGGTTTACTCAAAAGACAACAAAGTTTTGTTTTTTTGATATACAAATTCTGATCTTTGTCTTTTTTATGTTACATGGTGATGAAGAAACAATGACTACCGAAGAAAACAGAACAGTGCCGGAAAATCTAAAGAAACAGCTTGCAGTTTCAGTTCGAAACATTCAATGGAGTTACGGAATCTTCTGGTCTGTCTCTCCTTCTCAACCAGGGTACACAACTATATCTCCTCATCTTTATCCTTAAAATTTAACCTTTTTTTTATAGTACTTCTCTTTCTTTTCTTGGCTCTGTCCATAAGAAACATGACGAGACATTTCTTGATTTTTATTTTTTTGTTTCTTTGTTTCTTGATTAAACTAATTTTGGTGTTCTTGATTTTTTGACTAAAAAAATAAAATAATAATAATGAAGAGTGTTGGAGTGGGGAGATGGATATTACAACGGAGACATTAAGACGAGGAAGACGATTCAAGCAGCTGAAGTCAAAGTTGACCAGTTGGGTCTTGAGAGAAGTGAGCAGCTTAGAGAGCTTTACGAATCTCTCTCCCTCGCTGAATCCTCTGCTTCCGGTGGCTCTCAGGTCACTCGACGAGCTTCCGCCGCCGCACTCTCTCCGGAAGACCTCACCGACACCGAGTGGTACTATTTAGTATGCATGTCTTTCGTCTTCAACATCGGTGAAGGGTAACTCCGTCTTTCCTCATAATCCATCTTTAATACAGTATATTCCTTTCATTTCACATAATCTTTTTGTAAACTTATCTTTTTTAGAATATATTTTTTTATAATACTACAACTTTAGGAAAATAAAAATTTCTTTTGTATTTAGTTAAAACGAATAAAAAATGTAAAACTATATCAAAACACTAAAACAGTACAATGGTGTCTCATGAAAAAGACAAGAACACCCTTTATTAGCTTGTCGCCTTCAGTTCTCGTCTTCCATTGGAACTTACTCCGACATGATCGAGTTTAATTGTCGAAATTGATCTATGTTTTGAGTGTTTTTTAAGCATAACATTTTCTAATTTTTTAGACGATTTAAAACTTATAATGGAAAAATAAATCTTCTTACATCATTTTCGTGGTGGCATTTATAAGATATAAAGGGTATTCCTGTCATTTACTGTAGAATCCCCGGAGGAGCATTGACCAACGGTGAACCAATATGGCTTTGTAACGCTGAAACCGCCGATAGCAAAGTCTTTACTCGCTCCCTTCTCGCTAAAGTAAGTTTGTGCGTAATTTTCTGCCGTTTTAAACGTTAACGCTATAACTGAAAACGCTCTTTTTCTTGTATGTGTGGCGTTTTGGTTTTTTAAAGAGTGCTTCGCTTCAGACAGTGGTTTGCTTCCCGTTTCTTGGAGGAGTCCTTGAGATCGGCACCACCGAACATGTAAGCCAATATTTTCTAACAAAACATTCTTAAAAGGTCATTTTCATTGGTTTTTTGTTTGTTTGTTATTTTAGATTACAGAGGACTTGAATGTGATACAATGCGTGAAGACGTTGTTCCTTGAAGCTCCTCCTTATCCTACAATATCGACGAGATCGGATTATCAAGAAGTTTTTGATCCGTTAAGCGATGATAAATACATTCCAGTGTTTGGAACTGAAGCATTTCCGACACCGTCCACAAGCGGGTTTGAGCAAGAACCAGAGGATCATGATTCGTTCATCAACGATGGTGGTGCGTCTCAGGTGCAAAGCTGGCAGTTTGTGGGCGAAGAACTCAGTAACTGCGTTCACCAATCGCTTAATTCTAGCGATTGTGTTTCTCAGACATTTGTTGGACCATCTGGGAGAGTTGCTTGCGATCCAAGGAAGAGTACGGTTCAACGGTTAGGTCAGATTCAAGAACAGGGTAATCATGTAAACATGGACGACGATGTCCATTACCAAGGCGTGATCTCGACGATTTTCAAAACGACGCATCAGCTAATCCTCGGACCGCAGTTTCAAAACTTTGATAAGAGGTCTAGCTTCACAAGGTGGAAGAGATCATCATCTGTGAAAACATTGGGAGAGACATCGCAGAAGATGATAAAGAAGATACTCTTCGAGGTTCCTCTGATGAACAAGAAAGAAGAGTTGCTAACGGACACACCAGAGGAAACCGGGAACCATGCGTTGTGCGAGAAGAAACGACGAGAGAAGTTGAATGAACGGTTCATGACATTGAGATCTATCATTCCTTCAATTAGCAAGGTAACCGATTCTAATAAATCTTCTTGTTTGTATAATAACAACTTGTTCTTTACATGTTAAAAAATAATGTTTTGAATGAACTAATCTTGAGTGTATTGTGGATTCTACAGATTGATAAAGTTTCAATTCTTGATGATACGATTGAGTATCTTCAAGAACTGCAAAAACGGGTTCAAGAATTGGAGTCTTGCAGAGAATCTGCGGATACAGAGACGCGAATGACGATGATGAAGAGGAAGAAACCGGAGGATGAGGACGAAAGAGCATCAGCGAATTGTATGAACAGCAAGAGGAAGGGGAGTGATGTGAATGTAGTAGGAGAAGATGAACCGGTTAGTACGGGTTATGCTGGTCTAACCGATAACTTAAGGATCAGTTCAGTCGGTAACGAGGTGGTTATTGAGCTTAGATGTGCTTGGAGAGAAGGGATATTGCTTGAGATAATGGATGTGATTAGTGATCTCAACTTGGATTCTCACTCGGTCCAGTCGTCAACCGGAGACGGTTTACTCTGCTTAACTGTCAATTGCAAGGTACAGTCACTCACTACCTAGCATAATTTAGATTACTTAAACCGGAATACGAGTAAGCATAAGTTTGATATTATATGGTTTGATGTTGATTGCAGCATAAAGGGACAAAAATAGCCACAAGAGGGATGATCCAAGAGGCACTTCAAAAGGTTGCATGGATATGTTAAGATCTCACGGTTTATTAGATTGATTTTTTTTTTGTCCGGTTTGGTTATCCAACCTTCGGTATTTAGTGATTCTAACCGAGTTTTTCTTTAGTAATTTTTGAACTTCTGGAAAATTGTTTAGAATTCTTGTAAAACCAAACTCATTTTGGCTCATAACGAAGTAATACTTAACATACTATAATACCTAAATCATGCAAAATGAAACACTTGCGGTGAACAGAAGTAAAAAGTAAAGAATGCATAGTTTGTGATCAGTTTAAAGTTCAACCAAAAACATCATAGTTACATAAGATAGTCAGATTTTAACATACTAGTGCATCTTAAATCTCAATTTCAGACATTCTTTATGTATATTTAGAAAAGTTGATGTTTTAAAAGAATTAAAAATTATATTTAGAAAAGTTAAAGATAGGATTTGGTGGTCAAAAGCCTGGTATAAAGTGTGTTTTCACAAAATACACTGCCTTATAGAAAAGAAGTAATGTCATTTCAAATAATTGTATCATATCTAACGCCACTGAGAACTTCAACATGTGTTACCCAATTTTAACATTTTTTTCGAACTTTTCTTTCAAAAATAAAATAATGGAAGAGAATTGTAATCATAAGGACTTGGACTAACCTTTTGTGGATTTGGTATGGTAGCATCAAAATGACTCTATTTTTAGATAAGACAGATTAGCTTTGTTGAAAATACATAATGTAGGGCGTTAGAAATTTGGGTTCAATAATTTCTTGATTTGGAACAGAATTTAAACGAGAGTGGATGTTCTTTAATGAGATTGGTTGGCATGGTTGGTGACTTTGGTGGCCATTAACTCATGCATTAAGAAGATCCATGAATATGTGAAGTTGAGTTTTAGAAGATACAAACTAGATTTGGATACCGACGATTGAGAGGAGACGTCACTTTAACTTACTTTTTTCAGAGTTTTCGTTAATACAGTATGGAGTCACTTGTTCATGTCCTCCTAAATTGCACCTGGAAAAGGCAAGAAAAAGATGCTAGTAGTAGTGCTATTGAAAAGCAAGGAGAAGGAGAACAGAAGAGAATAAAAACATATTGTAGAAATATACAAACACAACTATGGTGTATGTGTTTTTACATTCATTACCTAGCTACAACATGTACCTATGAATTCGATCATATTATGTATAAACTGAACTTAAATTCTTTGCCTCTAGTTATAACTTTCAAGTCTTTTCACTTCAAGAAACAAATAAAATGGTGAGCTTTTTTCGTTGATCGTATAAATATCACACAAGTTTTACTCTTTAGGTTTACCTTGAAATGATTTGTAACATAATCATCATTACTCATGTTCATCAGAAAACCATGTCTACTAATAATAATAATAATCACCACCATAACCATCTTTGTTTGATGATAATCTTTTTTACATGGTCGAAGAATTGCAGAACACCCATAAATAAAAGACTCAAATCTATGTTTTCCTTATTCCCATTCGATCGTTGAAGGTGGCTTTGATGTAATGTCTAGAACCACACGGTTTACTCCTTGAACGCTGTTACAGATTTTCCTGGAAACATCGTCCAGAAACTTGTGCTCAAAATTGAACCTGCAAGGTTGTATTAACATCGTCAATCTCAGTACAAAGTCACTTTACATAAACTTGCTTTGGCATTTGCCCCACAAGAACTCTAACCAACAAACACTGACACCTATCGATTTTATACAAATAATTGTTATCCTTTCGAATCAAGGTACCTCTATTGGACTCAGATTTGGATAACGAATCTTTAATACTGCATTGCATCACGATGGCAAGTATATAACTTTCACTATCTGATCAATATAACCGGAAGCCAACCTAAATACCTAAGTATATTACTTTAATTACCCATATACTAAGTCCTAACAGTACCACATGGTAGATCAAAATCTCAAGCATTCACATCATAAGTTTAAGAACAAACGGGTTCTATATGCAAGGTATTAAGAAATGTAAGAAGCATACCAATCTGCAGTCATTCCATCTTGGCTTGTAACTGCGCGAAGAGCAACAACATGAGAATGTGTTCTCTTGTCACCTTGGACTCCAACTGATCTTACAGGCAAGAACACTGCGAAAGCTTGCCAGATTGTATCGTAGAGACCTGCATCTCTGATTGATTGGATGAAAATCTCATCAACCTGAGAGATGAAAAAACCAAAAAAAATATAAGTCTGGTAAATGGTCAAGTGCAAAACCAAAAAAGATTATACATCCGGTTGAGATATTAGAGCACTCGCCTGACGAAGAACCTCGAGGGCGTTTCCTTGGGTGACATCGCCCAAGACTCTAACTGCGAGTCCTGGACCAGGGAATGGGTGACGCTTCAAGAACCCTACAGGTACATTCAAGATTCTTCCGAGCTCCCGAACCTTAATTGCACAAAGAAAAATCCAGAGAAAGATCACAAACCAAACACTCAACAGTTGCAGACAAGAAAAATAGTAAAAATACAATAGTAACACACCTCGTCTTTGAAGAGAAGCTTGAGTGGTTCTATGAGCTTCAATTTCATGTCTTTAGGGAGTCCCCCAACGTTATGATGACTTTTGATGGTGTGAGAATGAGTCCTATCAGTACCTGGGGGAGGGCACGACTCAATCACATCAGGGTACAGAGTCCCTTGAACTAGAAAAGCAGGCTTCTTCCCATGCTTTTTCTCCAACTCTTGGGCAAACTGATCAAAAATGTTGATAAACTCCTTCCCGATTATCTTTCTCTTTGCCTCGGGATCCACAACGCCTTTGAGTTCACTCAAAAACCGCTCGGACGCATCTACACAAGTAACAGGTAAATGCAAGTCTTTTTCAAAGGTATCCATCACACGTTCTTGCTCCTTATACCTACAAATCAGAGCATTCTCAGAAAAAGCACATTTAAAAAAGTGCTTATCACATTGAAAATTGATTATTTTCTAACCTTAATAGCCCATTATCAACAAAGACACAATGAAGCCTATCTCCTATTGCCTTATGAACAAGAGTTGCGGCAACAGTCGAATCCACACCTCCTGACAAGGCACAAATGACATGTTCATCAGATGCAACGGTTTGGTTAATCACTTTGATCTCTTCTTCCATCAGGTCCTCCATTTTCCAATCCGCAGATACTCCACACACATCAAAAAGGAAGTGCCGAAGTGTCTCCATCCCTTTTGGTGAATGTGTCACCTGCAAAATCCAACAAAAAACCATTTCATCATAAGCTAGAAATTTACACTGACCAGCACATCCATTTACAGACATTTATGAGTAATTCTCAAGTCAATGAACTAACCAAACATGAAAATAGCTGTGCTTGCAAATAGAAGTACTAAAGCCACTAAAAGTCCAATCCAGACTATGATACTATAAAAATAGTCTCTCATTTTTCAACTATACGAGAGTCGCAGAACATGAACCACATTCTCCCAAATCTCATCAGGTAGTATTCCAACGATCTAAACTTTATCATCCATAAACCCAAAATCCACTAAAACTCTACTCCAAACTACAATACAATATCAGATTGTTCGGCCTCTAGAATCACACTAATAAACCATTCAAATAGCTATGTCAGTCAAATCGTATTCCCAACTAAGAAATGTCTCACACTTTTCACTTATCAGAGTCACAGAACATGAACTAAATCCTCCCACGCCTTCTCAGATTTAATAAGATAAACAGCTAACATGCTAAAGATCTAGACTTTATTATCTATAAACCTTATGTCAACTAAAACCCCAATCCAATGATATTAAATCAAACTCTTCAAGTTATAATACCTCAGGATGATACTGCAATCCATAAATCTTCTTCTTCCGATTCTCCAAAGCAGCAACAGCTCCTTGAGCGCTCTGCGCCACAATTTCAAACCCTTCAGGAAGCTTGACCGCTTCATCACCATGACTCATCCAAACCATTTGCTTCTCTCCACCACTCTCGGACCCAAAAATCTCAGATTTACCCTTCACTTCAATCTCCATTTTCCCATACTCTTTACTCTCTCCTTCCACGACAACACCACCAAGCTTCTGCACAATAAGCTGCAACCCATAGCAAATACCCAAAACAGGAACACCGTTGGACTCAGCCCACTCGATAAACCCATCAGGGAAACTCGGTGCGTCACGCGCGTGAACAGAGTGAGGTCCACCGGAGAGGATAACAACTCGTGGGTTATAGCTAGTGATTGATTTGAGCGATGAGGTTCCACTGATTACGAGAGAGAAGACGTTGAGAGATCGAATACGGCGAGTAATGAGATGTGTGTATTGTGAGCCGTAATCAAGAATCAGAACCGTGTCAGGCTTCATCGTCGGCGTTTCCATGACTAGGGTTTTAGAACTTAGGTGCGAAAAAAGGGATTTAGGGTTTTTCACTGTTTATGGCTTAGAGAGGCTTGGCGGGAAGTGGAGGCTTATAAAAACAGATGCAGTCGGAGCAACTAGCAAACTAGGGTTTTGTCTGAATCCCAAAAAACGAGAAAGACGATATCTTTTTGTCATTAATTATTGGGATACCAAAAGAAAATCCAATCTTTTTGCCCACAATTTCCGGCCGCTGCTAAAACCCTAATTTCAATACAAAAAAACTCAACTGGTCAAAAGTCAAAACCTTTTCAATGATTCAGAAGCTTTTACTTGAAGCAGACCAACCAAAGAATCAAAGATCGAATCTTTTTTAACTTTAGATAGATAAACTAAAACTATTCATCAAGAGAAGATTCTCAAATTTTAAATTTTTTTATACAGACAAAAAAAAATGTTGAATAGTTCCCAAGTAATTAGATTAATCCACATAATAGGCTCCTCTGCATTGTTCTTAGCTCATGGGCGAATTCAAGTAACACTTGTTGCAGAATCTTTTCCACAAGGTCAGACACAATGCCTTCAGATTCACCACCAAAATCTGACCAAAGACATGGCTTTATCAGATCAGTTTCAATTATCTGATCCAATGATTTTGTAGGAGAGTCAGAGCAGAGTAAACTCCAGTCAAAATGTCTCAACGTTTTGTGAATCAGGTCTTCTTCTCTAAGGGATGGTTGTAGATTGACGACTCTTGAACTACCCGATGACGTGAAAGGCCAAAATTTGATGTCTTGACGGTAAATCTCGCGGACAATCTCGTCGGTGTAATCAAGAACAAGAAGAAGCTGGTCGTTGTTGTAATTACCGTGTGAGAATTCATCGAGTAGTGATGTTTCCTCGCTGCATCTTGCCATAAGATTAGTCCAATTCAATCTTGAAGCTTTAAGAACTTTCTTCACAAACTCATGAACAGTTTCTTTCTCAACTAGATCGATGTGTGGATCATTAAAAGAGAGTCCAATCTTATCTTCTGCAAGAAAGTACCAGAGTTTTTCAGGTAAATCAAACAGATAAATTACTGAACTAAGGATGAAAATCATGAAAGCATTGATCCGAGGCCGTTACCGAGTTTAGAAATTTTCAGATTTCCTAGACCAACTGTATCGTCTTCTAAATGAATCCTTTCAAGAACAGAGACAGGACTCGGTTGCTCCTGCTCCTGTTTTGGGTCATGAATGTTGTTCTCTCGTCTTTCTAGACTAGAATTCGACTCCTGCAACAATTATAAAGCATAATATTAAACATCAAATCCACGTGAAACATAGAGATATAAAAACTGTTTACTCTTTTCTCCCAGTACTTACCGTTAATGAGCTATTGAGACATCTACCTTCCATGAATCTGTCTTCTACATGTGTTCTCAGACTTCTGTACTCAGCTGAATCTGATACAAATCTTAACAATTTAGTCTCATTGGCTTGAATATGATTCATTACAAGTTTTGTAATCTTTTTACCTGTACAACTATCGTCAAGAGACCTTAGATCAGAATTGTACGGATTCGGGTCAAAAACCTCAAAGTTCTTGTCCAAAGACCACAATTTAAAGCTCTCTCTCTTCTTCTCCAGCTTCTGTCTTCTCTCTTTGAGCTTTGTCTGCAAGCTACTCAATGCATAAGGAACTTCATAAACCGGTGAAGAGTTTGATCTCTCTTGTTGCCTTTCCACCAGGAATCTCCTCGGTAAAACATCGTTCTCGATACTTAGCTTAAAAACATCAGATTCAACCCGTTTCTTGCGCCTAAACACCGGTGACTCCGGGCTTCTGTAGCCAACTGTACTGGTAGAGACTTCGCTTGTTCGCAAAGCAGCAGCCTCGGTTTCGCTACCTTCAGGTTTGTTTTCTGCGTGATTGCTGTCTTTGTTAGATCCAACAACGAGCTTCAACTTCTTGGCTAGATGTTTGAATCTTAAGTAGACTTTATCATCAACTGAGCTAGATAAACTAGGCTTCAAGAGAACAATATCATCTAAATCATCAGCCAATGATGGAGATTTATCCCGTGGTTCCTTTACCTTAGATCCTTCCAAGTCTTGACCTTTTTTCGCTGAGAAAGAATTAGGATCTTGTAAGAGGGTAATAAACAATTCTTTGTTCGAACTTAGAATATCTAAAGCCTCCATGAACTGCTTAGACCGGTCTTTTCCCTTTTCCTCTGCCTTTGAACAAATCAATGTCTCAGCAGCTTCATTCACACAAACTTGAAGGTTAATCTCTGCACTCTTCTTACAATCTCTCTCATACTTTAGATCCTTTTGCTTATCCTTACCACTTGTCTTCTCAGTTTCACTGAAAGAAGAGCGTTTTTGCTTATCCGGGATATCGCAAGTTTCCTCCTTTAGATCTTTGATCCTTCTTATCTCTCTCTCTAGTAATCCCGGGACAGGTTTAGATTCATACTTGTCATGTTCCCTTTCAGAGCTCAAAGATCTTCTCCTGGTTTTAGGCTTACATGAACTCTCTTCTTCCACAACCCGCTGAACAAATCAAGAGACTCAGTTTCTCTCACAAATCTCTACGTTAAGCTAACCCAAAAACTAACAACAATAAAAAGAAACTTACATCGTTACACTGACACTTGTCATGAAGCTTCTTGAGCAAATCAAGCTGGCTTTTAGTATAAACATTGCCTATACAAAAAGAAACAGAAGAATCGAATTAGCACTAAGCTCATGTTAGAGAAATGAACCAAGAACACTCATTTTAACACTACTAACCAGCAGAATCTCTGACGAACTTTTTCTTCTCAGAACTAAGTCTCTTATTACCAGATTTGACATTTCCGAAATCGAAGAAATTTATCAGTTTCCAACCACAACCAGACTTATAATTCTCGTAGACAAGAGGGCTTTTAGGGAAAATTGCAGGTCCAGGACTCTTGCTGCTTCTTGGTGATCTCTTCTTCTCCATTGATGATCAACAAATTCACCAATCATTCAACACTCTCGTCTTCAATTATATTCTTCAAAAACCTGAAGAATATAAAAATCTTATCTTTTTAACATAACACCAAAAACCTTTAAAACATATAAACAGAACAGAGAATTCTTCTAAGTGTGTCCAAAAATTGCTTCTTTTGGATACAAAAACTGTCAATTTTACTGCCTGGGTTACCTTTTCTCCCTCCTACCTAAACCCTAAACTAAGATTTTCAGTAAAAAACTCATCTTCATAAGAAAAAATCCTCCTTTAACTTTAAAAATGAAACCTTTTCTCATATACAAGTGATAAAATCTTAGTATCTTACAAATAAGTGAGAGGTTTGCTTACCACCAGAGCTTTATGGCTGAAATGAGTCAGAGAAAAAAATGAGAACTTTATTTTGCAGTGACTGTCTGTGGAGCCAATCAAGCACTCAGCTTTGTGATGAAGACTGATAAACATGAAAAGTTAAAAAAAAAAAGCCATAGATTTTTGTTCTCTAACAAACGAAAAAGAAAAGTTCCCCAACATGATTGAGTTTTTTGGGTTTTTGAAGATCTAAAGAGAAAATTATAGGGACCCTTGTCTCTTCATCTACCCATGTAATTAAAAAGAAAAGATTTTTCTTTTAGTTTTTATAAAAAATTTGGCCTTGAGGAAATTTTTTGCAAAGGACAATAAATGAAGGTTACTGTTTATTCTTGGAGATGGGTCCTCTCGCCATTAAAGAGCTTTGGTCTTCTCCCTATGGAGAGATATGAGAAGAAGAAGAAGATGAAGAGGAAGAAGATGAAGGAAGAAACAAAGTTATAAAATCAAAGGAAATGATTAGTAGTCGAAGTGAAAAATGAAAATAATCAAAAGACCAATAGATTTACACCTTTTTTTAGATGGTCAGACACTTTATATTAATTTTAGCAGACGACCAGACATTTTTGTTTCTATACTGTAATAATCTTTTAAAAAATATTATTTTATATATATTTTTTGTAAACTTATTTTGGTTAGTGAAATAATGAAGAGAAGAAATGAGAAAGAAGGAGAGGGACGTGAGAGAGTGAAAGAGACATTGAAATTTGCAGATCGTTTCACATATAAGACAATGCTTTCAAATAAAGCTTTTATTTCTGTCCTCTTCTTATCCTAACAAAAAAAAAATATATTTTTTTCTATATGTATATGTGTGAATGTGTAAGAAGAAATAGTAAATATTAACATGGTTTTTATGTGATTTAAAACATTAACTTATCACTGTCAAAAAAAGAAAGGTACACTTTATTTTTGGCCCAAAAAATTTAATTTTATCGAAAAATGTAACCGTTGGAATCTCAAACTCAAATAGTAATGAAATAAGTAGTAGTAGTACATCTGCTTTTAATGATTATTATTTATTTATTACTTGTAATATTTTTTGCTATTATAGTCCTTCTTGCCATATTTTACCAATTGGTTCTCGAATAGTATAACTTAAAACTAAATGATTATTATTAGTGTTATTTTCTGCAGATTAATCTTATTAATTAGTAACGTAAAGACTTGTTATTTTCTCCATCTACATCGTACTACGTGTAATACACATGCACATTTAATATATGTGTGTGTATAATATATACTATTGAGTAATGTATATATTTATAGAGTAGCCGATCCCAATACGGCATGTTCTTTTTTTCTATATAGTTTCATGTTTGGTATTTACTACATATGCGAGTGAACGAGTAAACTAATTATGAAATTTACATGTGTTTTCTGATTGTTTTCATATTGCCAAAATATATAATTTTTATTTAGGTTTTTGTCAATAGGATTAGTTTAACTTGTAAGTCAAAAAATGATTTAGTTATTAAAATATGAGATTGCATTTTAGAGTGTGATTTATTTGTATTTTTTCTACTAAAGAATTGGTAGAACATAAATATGATTGTTTGACTGGTAACGGTATACGTGTGGTTGTCCACTTGTCTTATATTATTAATAAGCAAATCCATCTAACTTTGTCACCAAAGTTTCTATCGGCCGTTCAATACAAAAACTATACATTTATATCAAATTGCCAATACATATTTTATATATATCGATCACTTACGTAAATAGAGTGAGATGATGATCTTGGTATAGATAGTGTACCGACAACGCAATCTCGATAGTGAACGACACTTTCCACCATTACATGATTTTCGTAACATCAATTTGCAATGTTGAAACCAAATCATATATGAAAAAAAAACTCATTAGTTTTCACCAAATTTGAGATCTAAATCCTACCTATTAAGAGAATCTTATACCAAATTATTGTAGGTAGATGAGATATATCATCTATATATGGGGAAGTCTACACACGTCGATGTATCTGTGTATCGTATCCACACACTCATTCATGCACGTCAAAGCTACGTGCGTCATATATCACTATTCACTAACCATATATAATATATAGTTTAGTTATTTATATTTCATGTAAATTTCTTGTCAAATAAGGAGAGACACTATATCCATTTTAAAATGTACTTAACTCAATATATATATATAACATACGATTTGGACAGAATGTACATTATTATGTAAATTTAAAACAGTATAATATGAGTTAATTATATATAATGTTGTCATGTATTGAGTAATCAAACTAACTACATTGCTTACTACAAAATCAATCTACATAATTATGTATTAATACAAGACTATGACATGACTCGGTGTTTTTTTTTTTTCTATTCTTATAAACACATGGTTGGGTGGGCTTTAAAGTTTTAATTGCAGCCGCAGTCCGACTTTGACGACGACGATACTCGATAATTAACTATTTTTTAAAGTATTTTTTATGATATTTTTTGACATTACAGCATGTGCACTGCACGTGTTATGAAATGGGCTGAGAGAATGTGAAAGCGAGGCCCAATACGAAAAAGGGACCACAAATGAAAGAAGGGTGTGTAGTAAAACCAACTCAACTGAAAATGGCGGTGGTCGGTCCACGTTACATATATTAAAGTGGCCATGTGACTTTATTATGTTTCATCAATGACCAAGATTCTTGCTTTTTTTTTTTAATATATATAACAAGAAATTTAATGATGTATATCATCAATTACATTCTAAAATCTTTAGTTTTGTAATCGACATACTCGAAGTCCAAGGTTCGAATCCCATATACTAGAGTGGAAGATATATATAAAACAGTGTCACACTAACAACAGTAAGCACATGATCTGGTTTATATTTTTACTTCAAGATTTTTCCCAACAATGTTAACATTTGTGTTTTTTTTTGGTGAACTACTACAATACATTTTATTAAAAAAAAAAAAAAAACCAGTCTATTCAAACATTTTAAAAACTAATAATAATATACAAGTTAAAAGTTTTTTGAGTTAGTGGGCTTATTTATTATCCCATGTTTACGGCCTTATAGGCCCATCAAGTAGCCAGTTAAAACGCAGCGTTTTTAGCGGCGTCTTTGATTCCTCTATACGCAACGTTTTGCAAATGAATTCTCTTATCCCCTTGCAAAAACCTTTCACTGCTTTGCTCAGTCTCTCTCCAATGGCGTTCACGTTTCTCTCTCCTCACCCAGTCTTTCTCTCTCTAACTGGAACCACCTCTTCCTTCTCTTACAAACCTGTTATCTTACCATTCTCTCGAAATTCTCGTAGTCTCACGGTTGCTGCCGGACCTGGTCGCCGGAATTCGTACCCGAACCCTGCAGATGACGATCCACCTGAAGCGCCGGAGGATTCAATGCACGGTGTATCGAAGTTTCAGCAGATACAGCGTCAAGCTGCTCGTGCACGGAAGCTAGAAGAAGAAGATTTCGAGAAGAATCGGAACACTTATCTATCCGCTATCGCCGATGTTGAAGACGCGACGGAGACGGGACGAGATGACGTAGAACCTAGTGGTGATTTGTTCTCAGATATCGATAGAGCAATCTCCATGAAACGTAGCGAGTTCGTTAAGCAAGGATTGCTCAAACCTAACCCTCCTAAATCCGCGTCCTCCAAGAAGATTGAGGAGGGAGATGAGGAAGAAGGTGATGAAACTGACGTTGTTGATGAGCTTGATGAAGACGAAGTTGTAGATTTGGATGAAATTGATAAATTAACTGGATTAACCGAAGTTTCTGATGAAGAAGATTGGGTTGATGAGGAAGGTAACACTAGGATCAACAAGAAGAAAGAGATTGGGTCTGATCATCACTTTGAATTCGATTTGGATGACTTCGGTGGATCTAAAGTGAGAATCGTGGAACCTAAATTCAAAATGAGCTTAGCTGAGCTTTTAGATGAGAGTAAAGTGGTACCAATCTCAGTTTACGGCGATTTAGATGTCGATATCACAGGAATTCAGCATGACTCTCGAGGTGTAAGCGCCGGAGATCTCTTTGTGTGCTGTGTTGGAAGTGAAACTTTCTTGAGTGAAGCAGATAAGAGAGGAGCAGTGGCGGTTGTAGCTAGCAAAGAGATTGATATTGAAGATACTCTAGGTTGCAGAGCACTTGTTATTGTTGAAGACACTAATGCAGTTTTAGCAGCTTTAGCTTCTTCTTTTTATAGGCATCCGTCGAAGAACATGTCAGTTATCGGAGTTACAGGCACCAATGGTAAAACGACAACTACGTATTTGATAAAAAGCCTCTATGAAGCTATGGGTGTGCGAACAGGAATGTTTAGCACGGTGTCTTGTTATGTCCATGGCGATAACAAATTAGATACGCCTAACGCAACGACGAATCCTGATGCTGTTTTGGTTCAGAGTTTGATGGCTAAGATGTTGCATAATGGAACTGAAGCTCTGGTAATGGAAGCTTCTCCTCAGGAACTGGCTTTAGGGAAATGTGATGAGGTGGATTTTGACATTGCGGTTTTCACAAACTTGACTAGAGAAAATACGGATTTTCGTGGTACAGATGAAGAGTATAGAGATGCTGAAGCCAAGTTGTTTGCAAGAATGGTTGATCCGGAAAGGCATAGGAAAGTGGTTAACATAGATGATCCGAACGCAGCATTTTTCGTCCAGCAAGGGAATCCTAATGTTCCTGTTGTGACATTTGCCATGGAGAACACGAAAGCCGATGTTCACCCGTTAAAGTTTGAGCTTTCCTTGTTTGAGACGCAGGTTTTGGTAAATACCCCTCAAGGTATACTGGAGATCTCTTCTGGTTTGTTAGGACGGCATAACATTTATAATATTCTTGCTGCTGTGGCTGTTGGGATTGCTGTTGGATCTCCTCTAGAGGATATTGTTAGGGGTGTTGAGGAGGTCGATGCAGTCCCGGGGAGGTGTGAATTGATTGATGAAGAACAAGCCTTTGGTGTTATTGTTGATCATGCTAACACACCTGGTGGCTTGTCAAGGCTGCTAGATTCAATTCGAGAGCTTAAACCGAGAAGAATCATTACTGGTATATAAATGTTCCTCCATCCACTTTATGCTCTTAAGTCATGCCTATAGACTATAGTCTTTGTAATTGTGGTCGTCTGATTAATTTAGGTGGCTTTTTTTGTTTAAGTTATTGGTTGTGAGGGTGAAGATGAAAGAGGGAAAAGACCGCTTATGACGAAAATCGCTACTGAAAAGAGTGATGTGACCATGTTAACATCTGATAATCCGAGGAATGAAGATCCATGTAAGCTGTTCTAAAATCAGGTGGAGTCTATAAACTTTGTTTGTGTGCTAAGGTAGACTAATAGTTAGGAAAATTTCCAATGTGGTTTCAGTGGACATTTTGGATGACATGTTGTCTGGAATTGGATGGACAATGCAAGAGTATTTAAAACATGGTGAACACGATTACTATCCGCCTTTGGCAAATGGTCATAGACTCTTCCTTCACGATATTAGACGTGTAGCTGTGCGTTGTGCTGTTGCTATGGGTGAAGAAGGTGATATGGTTGTAAGTATTCTAACTGTGTGTCTTAACAAAGTTGCTGGATTTGAATCCTTAGCAAGCAATCAAAGTAATAGAATCAAATGTTGTTCTTTGTGGTAAGCTTGACACTGCTACTGCTCTGTTTTTGCAGGTTGTAGCAGGGAAAGGTCATGAAGCATATCAGCTTGAAGGTGATAAGAAAGAGTTCTACGATGACCGAGAGGAATGCCGGGAAGCATTACAATACGTTGATGAGCTCCACCAAGCTGGAATAGACACAAGCGAGTTCCCATGGCGGTAAGTGGAGTCATAACAGTTTCTTTTTCGAGATGATAAAATCGCAGACAATAATCGATTACTAATCTTTTTCTTCTCGTATTACTCTGCTTCTGCAGGTTACCAGAGAGTCATTAATACCTCTGCTGTGAAATCATTAGAACAGAAGATAGCTTTAGCTAAACCATGAAATCCAGATTTTCTTCCACCACGGCTCAAAATGCAGGGAGCTAATAAAATCTACAGAAAGAGACATAAAACATGCTCAAGGAAGGAGACTGATTAATCTAACCTTGTGAGTCACGACTACCTTGAAGTTCTTCCATTTGCTTAATTTCCCATTTCTTCGGTTTAGAGGAAACCCGAGATATCCAAATGTTATATCAAAGTTGTTGTTCTGTCACTGATACTACAGGAGAGATAAGAGGAAGATTCTTGAGGTGGAAGAAGATGTGTACAAATTTTGTTAAGAGTTAAAACCCAAGAATGTAAGTGGTTGTGTGTTGATTTTAGATATAGCAGGTGTTTGTTTTGGATATTCAAACCGAACCAACCAACATAAACCGATTCCAGTTTAAATTGTTGTTTATCTTCACATATCCAAAACTTAATCCGACCTTAGCTAAAAAAAACTTTTAAAAAGTGGAACTAAAACAAAAATAATACGATGAAAATACGGTTTCGATTTGGTTAGTATATCTCACATAGGAATACATATGATTACGAAAGTTTGGTAGAGAGAATCATTCTTCTGTAGAATTAAGCATACTTTGAAATTTATTTCTGGTTTTTTTTTTTGACGTCATTTATTTCTAGTTATAAATTAAAAGATTCCCAAATCCCAAAATCCATTCGTATAATTTTGGGACCACTCCAAAGAAATCAATAAAGTCTTTTTAATTGTTCAAATAATCATAATTCATATACTCCTAAAACCAAATAAATAAATAAATAATTTGATTAGACATACAAAAACAATAAAACATGGTATGTCCGAGGAACTTGTCCTAAATGTCGCAAACACAGGTCAATTCCATTAATCGTTTAGTTAATACAAAATTCGACAAGATTCTGATAAAACTAGTTTTTAGCTTAAATCCGGTCCAATCAGAAACGCGCCAAAAACCGGTCCAACGGCTTGACCTAACGTCGTCGTTTTCCAATGTTCCTCACTCCTCCTCCACTTTACTTGCCCTTCTCTCTCGCTTACGTCACTTTCCACAGATCCAACAATGATATCAGATAAAAATATTAAATTATTCCCATTACTGTTTTTATTTTCTAAGAATATTTTCCCAATTTTTTCATAATTAGTATTGTTTTTTTATTTCTTCCGTGTTTCACTCTTCTCTCTCTCTCTCTCTCTTGCTCTCTCTTCTTCATTGATTCTGTGTGATAAGATACAAATTTCGTGATTAGTAGCGAAAGAGAGAAGAATCCTTGGAGCATTTCCATGGATTCGTTTCGATTTCTCCGGATTCTTCTTCTATCATCTTCGATTCTACTCTTATCCCTCCCTTCTACGGTCACCGCCGGTGATATTGTTCATCAAGACGATTTAGCTCCCAAGAAACCTGGTTGCGAGAATGACTTCGTTTTGGTACTTTTCTCTACTCATTTACTCCTAATTCAGCTTCTTCTTTACTAATTTGGATTAAATTCCAACGAATTTTGTCTTTTTCCTCTCTTTCTGGGTTCTAACGAAGCTCAGCAAGTAGTTCCATATAACGAAATCGGAGGACTCTTCTTATTATTTTAGTAATTTTGAGAGTTAAAGCTTTCAACTTTGTTTTAGCTTTTGTAGTTGATCTAAGTTATAGATTCCTCAATTCTGAGTTCACAGCTTTAAACTCTTTGTGTTTACTTAATGGGTTTATGAAGTTTAATTCTGAGTTAAAGAGAAGTGTTTGATAGATTGGATTAAGATCTGGTGAAGTTTATATATGCGTGTGTGTGATTTGTTGTCACCTGTTTCTTTCCTTAAGGTAAAAGTTCAAACGTGGGTTGATGGTGCTGAGAATGTGGAGTTTGTTGGGGTTGGAGCTAGATTTGGGAGGCGGATTGTGTCCAAGGAGAAGAATGCAAACCAGACACACCTTGTTTTTGCAAATCCTCGTGATTCTTGTACACCTCTCAAGAACAAGGTTTTTATTTTATTTTACCCCTGTTGTTATTATGACCTTTGACATTAGAATCAATGCGTTTAAACTAGTTGTGATGTTGCAAAATGAATGCGTTAACTTACCGAGTTCAATCTTTGTTAGCTTTCTGGAGATGTTGTTATTGTGGAACGGGGAAACTGTAGGTTCACAGCAAAGGCAAATAATGCAGAAGCTGCTGGTGCCTCTGCTCTACTCATCATTAATAATCAGAAAGGTAACTTTTGTTTTTGTTTCGATGTGACTGCTGGAATTGTCTAATTGCTTTGATGTTATTATAGCAATCAGTTATCATGAGTTATTTGGGTATGTGTACTTGTAGAATCTAATTGCTTGTATGTTTGTTTTGTCTGACAGAACTTTACAAAATGGTTTGTGAACCGGATGAAACGGACTTAGATATACAGATTCCTGCTGTTATGCTCCCGCAAGATGCTGGCGCAAGCTTGCAAACGATGCTAGCCAATAGTTCAAAAGGTACGTCCTAATTATCATCTGTTTAGCTTTTCTTTTTCAGTCACAATATGCTTCTGAATTTTTCATTTTAAGCTTCAACTATAATTCATTATATGTATCGTGCTAACTCAATTATCTCATGTACTTGATGCAGTGTCCGCACAGCTTTACTCCCCAAGACGACCAGCTGTTGACGTAGCTGAAGTTTTTTTGTGGCTAATGGCTATCGGTACCATTTTGTGTGCTTCTTATTGGTCTGCATGGAGCGCCCGAGAAGCAGCTATTGATCATGATAAACTACTGAAGGTCCGATGTTTTCTATATATTTGGGAATAGTAGTAATATTAGGCTAGGAAGATTTAGTTGGATGGGTGAGGATAAGGTAGTTCCAATGATGCCAAAAGGGACAGGGTAATTGGTAACTTGGAAGGAGAAGTAAGAAAAGTCGATTATAGTATATTGCACAGCACGTAGACAGGCATTTCTTTACGTTACTTTCCCAATTATGAAAATGTTGTGTCAAAATGAACATCCAAGAAATGGATAGGTGATGGATGGCTTTTCTTAATGAGTTGGGCCCCTCCTTGAGGCATTTGTCTACTTTTGACAAGAGACTCACATGGTTTTGTTTATTTGTTGCTTTTGTTAGCAGTGTTATTTTTCTTACGTAAGTATTCTTACTTCTAACATTCTTTTTTCTGCACAAATGTAGGATGCTATAGATGAAATCCCTAACACAAATGATGGTGGTAGCGGTGTCGTAGAGATAAATACTATTTCAGCAATTTTTTTCGTAGTTCTTGCTTCGGGATTCCTTGTGATGCTTTACAAGCTTATGTCTTATTGGTTTGTGGAGCTTCTTGTGGTTGTTTTCTGCATTGGTGGTGTTGAGGTACCAACTTCTTCTCGGTTCTTTTCTGTTTCTCTGGCATCCTTTCAGTATGTATCTCTTTCGACTAATGATCGTTATATATGATGTACTACCTTCTTTATCTTCAGGGTTTGCAAACTTGCCTCGTTGCATTACTATCAAGGTAAAAGCATGATTCCTTTCAATGCTTACTGCCTTAAATGCACATCATAGAGGATGTCATGGACTGTTCTTTCTTTGTGTTCTTTTTGCAGATGGTTCCAACGTGCTGGAAATGCTTACATAAAAGTCCCTTTCCTTGGACCTATCTCTTACCTGACTCTTGCAGTATCTCCTTTCTGCATTGTCTTTGCTGTTCTCTGGGCTGTTTACCGAGTTACCTCCTTTGCTTGGATTGGGCAAGATGTTCTTGTAAGGATTTAATCCCCATAAAATTTCATTTACAACTACAATCCACCGTCAATATGGTATGTAATATTGTTGTCTATTGGCCAGGGTATCGCATTGATCATCACAGTACTACAGATTGTTCATGTCCCAAATCTAAAGGTAATTTCTTACACATATTTATACCTCATCTTCGAGTCTCCAAAACATTATGAGGTATTTGATAAAGAAAATTCTAAAACCATATTTCTTGGAACAGGTTGGGACAGTTCTTCTCAGCTGTGCCTTCTTTTACGATATCTTCTGGGTGTTTGTTTCGAAGAAGTTGTTCCACGAAAGTGTAATGATTGTTGTAAGTAGCCAACCAATTTGCCATCCATCATTATCATAAATAATTTAACAATGCCCAAACTCAAATCTTGTTTCATATGTCCAAAACATGCAATGTTGCTTCTTTCTTCTTTGCAGGTAGCTCGTGGTGATAAGAGTGGAGAAGATGGCATCCCGATGTTACTGAAGATTCCGCGCATGTTCGATCCTTGGGGAGGCTACAGCATTATTGGATTTGGTGATATTCTTTTGCCTGGTTTGCTAATCGCATTTGCTCTCAGGTTTAACAGCCATACCCTCGCTATCTCTCTCTCTTAAATCATCATCTATAGTTTCCTTTCACCAAGTTGTAAGCTTTTCCCAACATTTATTCTTGCAGATATGATTGGTTAGCTAACAAGACTCTTAGAACCGGCTATTTTATATGGGCAATGGTTGCCTACGGATTAGGTAAATAAGCGTAATCCCATTGATATTCTTTTTCTTAATTCTCCATCATTGACAATTATGTGACCATTTGAAAACCACAGGTCTTTTGATAACTTACGTGGCGCTAAACCTAATGGATGGACACGGCCAACCCGCACTGCTCTACATTGTCCCGTTTACACTCGGTAAGCTGGAACCCTTCGGATCTCTCTATAATATGCATCAGATGAGTATTAACAGTAATCTGACAATGAAATTACAGGAACAATGTTAACGTTAGCTCGAAAACGAGGCGATCTTTGGATTCTATGGACAAAAGGAGAGCCAGAAAGGGCTTGTCCTCACCATGTCCGGCTTGAACAGTGCTCTGAGTGATGAGACGTCCTGACCAAAAACTGAACTCAAAAGACTTTTACAAAAAGGGAAAAAGAAAGCCTTGGGGTTTGTAACCAATGTAACGTAAGTTGTAAGATTATTTTCTCTTCAATCCTTTTTTAATCTTGTGTTGTTTGTGTTACTTACTTACACCATCATTACTAAAGAAGATTCCATTATCGTTCTTTGTCTATATGGTTTGTTTCTTTTTGTAAGAAAGTGGTTAAGTGTGTATAAACGTAGGCAACTTTCTAAGCTCTTGTGGACAATTTTGTAATTTAAATAATAATATATTTTTCCTCTGGTTTCATTGTTTTTCTCACTTGCTCGGTTTCCACTAAAATGTGAAATTTATCATGGGACAGATGATTATGTAGGTTTTACTACTGTAGGATTCTGATGGTAAGTGTGTTCATTATAATCAATTAAAAGAGAGCACGAGAACACGACATACGACCAAGTCCATAGCAGAACATTAAACTCTTTGAAAATTATCGACTCCAAAAGTAGTAAAGTTTGAACTTTGGGACCAATGACGACTACAAAACATATTTTGTTATGCAATTGATGACAAGAAGCGAGCATTAGTCAAAAATGAAAGAATTAGAGAGTGGAGTTATAATCTAATCTGGGATTCTCTTAACAATAAAGATAGATTACATCAAAGAGTTTAGATTTAAGCTTTTTGCCCTCCTTTTTTTCTTCTTCTACTTCATCAGCAACGAATCAGACTAAACAAAGAGACTGAAGAAAGAGGGAAATAGACAAATTAGGTGACGACCTGTCTTCTACCACCACACCTTCCTATACACAAAATCAATTTTTGCTGATCTCTATCTCACTCCCATATATCCTCAGAGAAACAGAGAGACAACATAAAAGTCTCTTCAGATTTTCCAAAGACGATAAGAAAAACGAACCCTCATTCCTTGAGATATTAACTAATGGTTCAGGGTTTTGAGTCGCGGCTCAGTAACCCTAACCCCGATCCTAAACCTCGAGATCCTGACCCTTGAGGCTGTGTTGCAATACCGAGATCCTGGAGGAGTTTCTGCAGCTATTTGTTTTGATGTTTTTTTCCATTGGGTTTTATGGTTCTGTCATTGGTGTCGAATCATTTGACTCGAACAGGTTAGGGTCCTCTGTTTGTCGACCCGGGAGTTGAAAAACCGGGTCTCAGGTCGAGGGACTTCAGTTTCAGATGCTCACTTAAGAGCTGTTGGGACACATGATCAGATAGGACCGGTTGGTTGTCCCTGTTCCAATTATAGCCTGGCTGGATCGAACCATTGTTGTCCCAAAATACATGAGGAGGCGTCCTTGGACTACTTCGCGACCGATCTTGCTGCCTACTTGGCTCCTGAAAGAAACTGTTGGTGTAGAAATTCCCGCCACTTCCCGGACTTCTGCTTGATCCTATGCCTTCATGCAAGAAGTTGACTGTAGTTTGTCTTTGGTGCTGGAACGGGATGGCTCCACCGCACCCAGTTAAAGGTGTTGATGAACCAGAGAGAGCGTGGGGACTAGATATTGGGGATGGAGATCTTCTTCCGCTAATGTGTGGTGAATGCGAGTGAAAGATTGGACTACCAACTGGTGAAATCGGGCATGACATGTTCCTAGGAGATTGGGATATACTGCGACCAAAAGGAGGAGATTTTAGCCACACAGAAGTTTTGATGCTTGGAAAGAGAAGGTAAAACTGGAATGGCTAATGGGTACCTGAATCCAGAGCCAGGTCTTAATCCTTTCTGCTGGTAATTGGTTGCATCTTCCGAGTCTAAGCACGGAAGACTCCTTGCGTGTCCAATGTCCTGAACATACAGATTTGTCAGGTAATCAGAAGCATAGAGAAATTAAAATTGGGGAATACGAGCTTTCATACCAGTGATCTCATGGTGCTCGAAGCTACATTCATGGCTTCTGCAGGCTCGCCACTCAACATAGGCCTTTCCATCGGCATCACATTTCTTACAAAAGCGTGGTCCAAAAGCTGAGCAGCTGTAGGACGATTTGAGGGGTTTCTTTGTAGGCATTTTCTCACAAAATCCTTACCCTCTTCAGATAAATGATCAGGGATATCTGGAAGCTCCTTGCTGTTTCCAATCTTGAACATTGCAGGAACCTATAAAGAACTCAGATACATAAGGAAGGTGGATCGCATAATTAATTCTCATGTTTGTTTGAGTACATTTATAATTTACTAACCCCTTCATACTGGCTCCATGGAGGTTTTGTTGTAGCCATTTCTAAAACGGTACATCCAAGGCTCCATATGTCGACCGCAAGGTTACTGCCATTTGAATTCTTTATCACCTAAAATCCAAACAAGATAAAAAAAAATTAGCATAAAGCCTCTCAATATGAAAACGACGGTTTGGCAGCATACTGACCTCAGGCGCCATCCAATATGGGCTCCCCTTGAATGATAAAGGACCAGATTGAGCAGTAATCTGCATTTTGTTCATAAATTCACATTAGATTTAGGAAATTTTCTAGCTAGCCTTAGGAATATTTATTCGGATTACTCATTTCTGTTAGAAGGAACAGTTTCAAACAGGACTAAAATAAAACACGGGAAGGAGATTCCAGAGAACATATCCATACATGTTTTGCCATCCCAAAATCAGCCACTTTTACCCTTCCATGGGGATCCACCAATATATTTGCTCCTTTGATGTCCCTGGATAAAATTATAATCCATATTTACTTAATTCTCCAAATAATGAAGAATGAAATAAAAAGGAGGAATCAGGAGAACTGATAGAATTAACCACCTATGAACAGTATTTTTGGCGTGCAAATACGCAAGCCCTGATAAAATTTGTTGCGTGTAGTTACGGATGGCATTCTCACCAAATTGTCCATACTCTTGAAGAAGTTTATAGATTGAACCACCAGAGACATACTCCAGATATATATACAGTTTGTCATCTACCTATAATGGGACAAGAAAGTAAATAGTAGTCATGTGCATGCGTTCGTTGAGCGGAAATAGTTGATAATATCAGAGAATAGAAATGACCAACAAATACATGTAAAACTTACGGTTTCAGAGCCATAATACTGCACTATATTTGGGTGTCGTAAACGGCTTAGAACTGAAATTTCCTGTGAGAGTTAATTATTGAAAAATAAGCTGCAAGGTTAGAAAATTCAAAGACAAAAAGCACCAAGAGTAGATTTTGTTGTTATGAACAGATGGTGTGGTAACTCACTTGTCCCAATTGTTGTGCACTCTCCCTTGACTTGGGATCATCTGAGCATAGAGTAACCTCTTTCATGGCACACATCTCGCCACTTTCACTGAGGATGGAAACATAATCGATCAAACCACGGGTGGCATAGAGATGCAACGTATAAGCTTTTGTACCCATGAGAACTGATATTTAAACTAAGAAACTTAACAATGTGGAACAATTTTACCAGTATGAAATAGATTTTAGCAACGAAATATTTCTCATATCCAAGATGAAATGTGAGAAACTGAGAGCATCTTTCCAACTAAAATCCGACTTGTTTAGTTACAAACCTGTTAAAGCCAAGATACACGTGTCCAAAACTGCCCATCCCCAGCAATCTCCCTTTTTTCCATCGCGATCCAGGGCTTACCGTAGCCTCTGCTCTTGCTGGACTTCTGGGGACAGACGGAGATGTTGCTGCTGAATATGTGGGCGATAACGGACAAGTATTATTGATTAATAGCGGTGGGAGAGGCAGACGGTGGCTTTGCTGTCTATTATCATCAAGTCTTCTAGTAGGAGACCCAGTAGTTGACCCTCCAGCTCGAGGATGAAGAGGTGTAACAGCACCACTTTGTATTCTGGAGCTAGGTCCAGGGCTCGTCATTCTTGGACTAGGCACAGGAGAACATTCAGGGCTACACCTGCTCTGAGGCCAAAACAGCTGAGCAGCCATATCTCCACCAATGGAATTGTTACCTGAGTTATAACCTGAACCTGGGCTTGAGCATTGTCCAGATCCAAACAAGGAAACATCTGAATATGGTTTACTAATCAACAACCCATGGTTTGAGGCTTGATCTGGGACAAAGGATCTCATTGGACTCCTAGAAGGACTAGACAGCAAACTATCTGGGGCACTGCAGAGCACTAAATCTCGTTGCGGGATTTGTAGATTCTTCACATGAGTGCCCAGAGGTCTCCGCCTAGGAGATGCTGATAGAATTCTGTTTTTATTAGATACATTTGGGACTGGCTTGAACATCTCAGCTGACTTTTTATTACTATGCATGAGCTGATCCCTAGACGTAAGAGTAGGATATAACATGTTTAGAAATAGAGAGCATGAGAAAGAGCACAAACCACAATAATAACAATCACATTCAAACTCACCTCGAAGAAATATTTACAGCTGTTCGGTTCCCATTTTCACAATCAGAAGCCAATGGACTGAGAAGAGAATCAGATGGATGGTCACCCACAGAACTTCCACTGGACACAGAAGCAGTGGCAAAATCAGCCTCAGCACCGGTATTATCAGGCATGCTTGAAGCATTATGGGGCTTTGGAAGTGGCAACCATGATGGCTTCACATTTGCATCCAAACCTGGTCTATGTGAACCATTCATTCCCGAATCAGTACTCGTTACAATAGGACGGACAATAGGACGAGGAAGAGGTACAGCAGGAGATCTTTCAGCAAAACTCTGACAGCGCGAAACCCGAGAAGAAGGAGAAGGAGATCTTGATGGTAACCGAGATATAGCTCCTCTTTCAGACACAATTTCATCACGTCGTCTTCTTGATTTTCTTGACCGCCCACTAGACCTATCCTCAGATGCGAATCCCAATTTCCGATTAAAAGCATCAATGATACTCTCCTTGTTAGTCTTCTTTTTTTCATCTTTGGATTTACTCCACCAAGGCATGATCTTCTTCCCACAACTCGAGTGGCACACTCACACTATCACGCTTGCAAAGAACTCGTTCAACACTACAAAGTAAGTATCCTTTTGACCACTTCAGAGATCATACTTGGTTGACCCAACAGAGGTCAACAAACGAAGAAAAGTTCCAATATAAACACCATTTTTTAATTATCCCATTGGTGTTTGACCAATACCAAGAAGCAGGTGAAAGATCTGATTACAACAAGAAAACAAAGCGTTAGGGTTTTCAACTCTCGCTTCCTAGAAGAACATTCGAATGATAGCAAAAACCTATAATAGTTTAGAGTAAAATTGAAGATACAAACAGATAAAAAAAATCACCAAAATCCAAAATTCTAGCAAGAAGACAAACCCCATTTTATTCAGCAAGTTCTTAAATAGCATGATACCAAAGAGTATCTCA